TAAATTGATTTATTGCAGGCCAAAAAGAACACTATTTATGCAGAAGGTTTGCTTATTGCAGAACACAGAAATCAAGTTAGCTTCCTTTCTCTTCCTTGGTTCTAAAATTTAAGTGGTTTTCTTTCTCCTTTTCAAATTCTGGACTCTTTGTTCTAATTCCTGCTTTACCAGCTTCTTTATGCCACGTAAATCCATATATGGGGTTAACTGAATAAATCATGATTCACTCAATCTTGGTCAAAATAATTACAGTCAAAAATACTTGAAGAAAATGTAGCAACTGATGGATTCATACATTTCACTTAACTAAAATATAGTTTGCTATTTATTTTTTTGATAAACGTGATGGCAGAACCTAGGCATTGTGACTTAGCAGGATTTATGTACTGTACTAGGCTGCTGTGATTTGATCAATAAACCCTGACTCATAAACTTCAGGCTTAGGCATCTGTATGAACATTGGCCCTGAAATAACTAACTCAGCCTTGAGAAAATTGGTTCATTTTCAGTTGTCCTGACCTATTTGAGCCTTCCCTCTCTTGCATCTTGCCACGGTACCAACTTATCTTTATTTTCTACTTCATCTTCATAGTATTGTTTTCACCTCATCCCCAGTAAATACTTCTATGCCTGTCAACCATTGTTGGTGTTGCTTTTAAAAGCACCAAAACACTTTTGCAAAATTAAAATGCATATTTAACTTGGACATAGGGAAGAACTCTTTTTATTTTCCTGACTGGCTTCTGACATGTCTCAAATAATAACAATAACAATAACAAAGTTGGAAGGGACCTTGGAGGTCATCTAGTCCAACCCCCTGCTCAGGCAGGAAACCCTATACTATTTCAGACAAATGGCTGTCCAGTCTCTTCTTAAAAACTTCCAGTGTTGGAGTATTCACAGCTTCTGGAGGTAGGTTGTTCCACTGATTAATTGTTCTAACTATCAGGAAATTTCTCCTTAGTTCTAGGTTGCTTCTCTCTTTGGTTAGTTTCCATCCATTGTTTCTTGTCCTGCCTTCAGGTGCTATGGAGAATAGCTTGACTCCCTCTTCTTTGTAGCAGTCCCTGAGATATTGGAACACTGCTATGTCTCCCCTTGTCCTTCTCTTCATTAAACTAGACAAACCCAATTCCAGCAACCGTTCCTTATATGTTTTAGCCTCCAGTTCTCTAATCATCTTTGTTGCTCTTCTCTGTACTCTTTCTAAAGTCTCAAAATCTTTTTTACATCGTGGTGACCAAAACTGGATGCAGTATTCCAAGTGTAGCCTTACCAAGGCATTGTAAAGTGGTATTAACACTTCACATGACCTTGATTCTATCCCTCTGTTAATGCAGCCTAGCACTGTGTTGGCCTTTTTGGCAGCTGCAGCACACTGTTGGCTTGTCCATTAGGACTCCAAGATCCCTCTCACAGTTGCTACTATTGAGCAAGGTACCACCTATACTATACCTGTGCATTTGGTTTTTCTTGCCTACAAAGCTATCCAAGATATTAATTTTTCTTCTGTCATTAAAATATGTCAGCTGGTGTTATGTTTGCTCTTCAGATTTAACTTCCCCCCTCAAAATTTGATGGTCCCGACCCCATTAGTCTTTTGTATAACTGAAACACCTGGCATTTTTCTCCTGAAGTGATGGCAATTAAATCCATTCTACTGTTTATGAATACAGATACGATTGTAGTTATTTTTTTCTTATGTTATTTTGTTATTTTTGTTCAATTATGTTTCATACATGCACACAGATTAGAGTTATAAATTTACAATTTCCTTAGATAAACAAAAAATGCACTGCTTTATAAGATTTTTTTAAAAAACTGGAACAAGTGTCTAAATTGGAAACACACCACAAATAATGAGGATTCATTGTGGGAAATGTTGACCTGCCATAATCTAATTTCTCCATGCTCATAGAAGGAGAGCCAAGACACATGGGTTAAGATTAAGACTAAATTTGGATGTTCTCTTGAACTAAAAGCAATTTCCTTATATATTGTATATATGTATATACATGGATCCCCTTGGAATCATGACATACTTTAATTATTATTTAAGAGCTATTGTTTCAAATAAAGTACAAATGTAGTCTTGATCTGAACAATGATTCAGTTCAGATGTAGCATAGTGTGTATAAATTAGTATGAAGCATGCCCCAAATATTTTCTCCTTTCTGATTGCTAACTGTGCAATTTCAAAACGAAGCTTTCCTGGAAAGCAAACAATAAGATCAAAATTATTGTCTTCCATTCTAAAAGCCTTGAAGACACATTCTGATAGCCTGGGAATAGAAAATGCTACCTTTTTCTATGGGTTCTACCCTTATATTTAATATAGCGCTAAACCAAAACTCAAACTCAGCCTTATTGCCCTGCACATATCTCCAAATCAACTAATACACTTACAGAGTTGCATAATTTAACGAGTTAATTAAAGAAGACCAATTTCTTGATAAAAGACATGATTACTTACCCTAACCGTCATTTGCACAGTCGGCGTCTTCTAACCAAGAGTAACCCAGCAGATCAAATCCCAAAGCCCACCTTGAGAAAGAATTCCCAGTGTTGTTTGACGGCCAGCAATTAAACCACATAGCAGCGTCTCGCGTTCTCTTTTAATTTGTTGTGGATCATTCACACTGTGGCGACTGCACTGCCAAAAATAAAAATCGCAGTGCAACTCGAGAATTATTCCAAGTCCTCCACTTTGCACGCTCAGCTCCCTCTCTGCTTAGATTGGAGTGACCCTCTCTGAGGTGAAGGAATTCTTCAGCAACCAACAGCTCCCATGAATGAAAGGACAAACAGGGATTCCTTCTCCAGGGAACCAGGAACAACATTTGGAATGCATGCATAATGTGATTCCACAGGGCAGGACACGTGAAGCGCAACAGGACTGATTTTTGTTTTTTAGTAGCTCTGTATCTTAAGAGGGTACATTTGGGGACGGCTGAGAATGGAGTTGGCCCTACTGGCATATTTAAATTCTTAATAAAAAAAGGCAAAGACTATCACAGATATTAAAAATTACACAGAGTCCTTGACTTACAACAGTTCATTTAGTGACCGCTCAATGTTACAATGGCACTGAAAAATGCAACTTATGACCACTTTTCAAAGTTGCGATCTTTGCAACATCCCTATGATCATGTGATCAAAATTCAGGTGCTTGGCAACTGGTTCATATTTATGACCGTTGCTGTGTCCCAAGGAACTGTGATCACCTTTTGTGACCTTCTGACAAGCAAAGTCAGTGGGGAAGCCAGATTCACTTAACAACCAAGTTACCAACTTATCAACAGCAGTGATTCTCTTAACAATTGTGGCAAAAAAGATTGTAAAATGGGGCATAGCTCACTTTACAAATGTCTCAACAACAGAAATTTGGGGTTCAGTTGTGGCCGTAAGTCAAGGATTACCTGTATATCCAATTGGGGGGGGGGGGGTTCAAGACACAAAAGAGCCAACTTCTCAGATCCCTAAACAACACACACAAGCACTCACATATTCTGGTACTATTAGCCACTGCTCACTCGTCCCCACTGCTCCTCTTGCTAGTCCTACTCCTACTTCCTGTGAGTACTGTTAAGAGAAAAGCATCCCTTTCCGACTGCTTTCCTGCCACTTACACAAACACCTCCTGCCCTCCCCTACACCCTCAGCTGTTTCACAGCAGAGTTTTATAGGCAACTTTGCCTTGCTGATGCAGGGGAGAGGGCACAAACACCCTCCAAAACATTTTCATTTAGATTTGGGTTGGTTCGGTATTTTTTCAAACTTGGCAACTTCTTCATTCTGAGAGTTGAAGTCCATACATCTTAAAGGCAAAATTCACTTAATAAATGTCTCACTTAACAACAGAAATTTTGGGCTCCATTGTGGTCGTACGTCAAGGACTACATGTATACATAACTCATAAAATTTAATTTTTTTCTGCACATCATTCAGCAAAATTTAGATTGGCAAACAGGGATATTATTGACAATTCCAAGGAAAACTTAAGTGTGTAAAGATAATCCAACATTCTGCCTCCCCCATATTTTGTGTTAGATCACTGCTTCATAAAAGTATTGTAATGCAATAATTATGATTTGATATATGTACAAAATTTTAATTTTTTGACCGCTGTAAGGTTTATTGAGGGTCCAAAGATGAATTGAGTATTTTGACCTAATAGATGTAGCTGACTGTTGTTTATGAATCATAGGTCTCTAACAGATGTTATTTCTATATGCTCTGGCTTACAAATTAGATCTATGCATTTACATAGTAAATTATCTAATATTTGAAAAAAAAGTGTTTCTAATTTTTCAAACTTGGCAACTTTAAAATGTGTGGACTTCACCTCTCAGAATTCCCCCAGCAAGCTGGGAATTAAAGTCTACACATCTTAAAATTACCAAGTTTGAAAAATACTGATTTACCCATTTCTAAAATTAAAACATGAACTATCAGTATACTTTAGCATACACCTGAGGCCAATGTTTTCTCAGGGAATTATATTTAGATGAGAAGGCATTATAGAAGTGAATTAATGAAGAGGTGGTTGCTTCATTACATAAAAATAGGTGGAACATGTGGTCTCTTGTATCAAAGATATTGTTTTGAATCACTGGCATTTAATGAGACATACTGAAAGACAACAGAATTTGTCCATGGTAGGTTATCACTGTTCACACACTTTAACAAAAGGCAAACTAATGAGGACTCTTCTGGTCATTGTTTTAGTCCCCAGAATGCTTCTTATTCCCAACTTATCTTTTTTTCTGGATTAACAGGCAGTTTTTATTAAGATGCAGCTACCCAGTTTTGTTCTCCCTAAGCCTATCACTGGAATTTATATGCAACCCAAAATTATGGACAAATACTGTAGATGTGTTTGTATTTTATTTAATGCTTTTGATGGGCCATTATAACTATTCATTTTGGAATATAATATTAGGATTGTGATTACGGTTAACCTTTTTTGACAATCAAGCAAATTCAGTTTAAAAAAAGATATTTCTAATTCATCTTGATGCCGTTGCCTATTATTTTACATAAGGCCAATTTTTGTATTAGTATCCCAAAGTCAATTATTTATTGCCATTTTCCTTACTGCACTTTTCAGATATAGCCTTCAGTTCCCAGAACTTTCCAGCAGTCAGTTTGGGAGGTTGAAAGAATGTGTCCTGTGCAGGTGTAACCTTTATACAAATTCAGGTACTATATTAATTGCTATGACTGGGTCTCGGTGTACTGAATTCATGGAGTGAGACTTGAAAAGTTACTTGAAATGCCTTGTTGCTTTTTCAGAATTGCAACTGAATGTATGTATTGCTTCCACCATGAAAGTTCCTGAAAAAATTTATTTGCTCAAGGTAAGAATCTTGGAGATCAATGCTGAATGTTATGATACCTTGGTGATATTTGTGGAAATATTATAGAAATATTAATATTTTGCAGTCTGTTTAGCAGATGATGGGGAGGGGGAAGAACATCTCTTCTTGATACTTGACATTAAAGTTGGTATGGTGCCTGGGTTGACCCCCTCTCCCCCATGATTTAGTTTTTTCTATTTTGGATCTGGATAGTAGCACTTGCTCAAGACAGATCTGTTTTTCTTTTTTAAAATTGTTTTAACCCTTGTTAGCTGTCCATTGTGATCAGCCTCAGAACTAAATAATCCTCCCTCACCAAGTTGCAAAATGTGGATTCGGCCCAATTGTCCAGGAAAAATGTTAGTAGATGCAGTATTTTATTGTATTTTGCATTTTTAACAACACATTAAGGAAACAAATTCTTATTTGTTACAGATGAAGTAATGTATCCCATTCCTCCTGTGTTTCCAGTCATCGTTATTTATTAAAGACTGACAGGCAATTTAAAACCTCTTTTCCAGAATAGTCATTTTTTATTCTAAGGATCATACACAATCACAATCTGGAATAACACAAGTGAAGTAATCCTAAAATTGGATGATCATTCCACTTTCCCAACCACAAGAACTTATTGCCACAATTCTTCTTGCTGCAAACTTCATGCTTTCTTGTCAGATGGAAAACGGATTATAAACAAAGACAAGTTGGAGAGCTTTTAGACGTTAAAAGAAAATTTTACTGGCAATCGATCTCAGTGATGGAGCTAGATTTGATCCTCCAGAGTTTAATTAAGCTAAGCCTGTGGATTTGAAGGAAAAAAATAAAACATATGTATAAGTATCAATACATAAAAAGATGGACTGCAGGATCCAGAAAATGACATTTAAGTTCCCTGACCTTTCCCTATCACATTTAAGTACTCTCATGGTCACTTCCCATTTTTCCTCCACTTTTTACACCAAGCCAACATCATTTTTAATTCTTTCATCAGAATTCTAAGAATGAGCTAGTAGAAGTGGGCTGCTGGATACTAAATTCTACTGGAAGATTTTTAGTACAGATTTTTCCAAGTTGTATATTCATGTGACCTACTATCTTGATCAAACACAGATATGACTTTACTTTAATGCATTATGTACTTGCATTTCATCAGCATACAATGAGCTCAACAGTAGACCACTACCAATAACTGGGTATCTTCAAAATGTATCTTCTCATAAAGCTCATTTTTAGATTATGCACTATGTCAGGAATGATAAAGCTGAAATTAACACCTTGCCAGAAGGCACACGAAGAATGAAAACCTTAAGTTTTCAAAATACACTGATATGCAATTAGAAATCAGTTTTAAATTGTCATTCTACCTGGAATAATGGAGTTCAATTATCACTGTTGTAAGTAAGCAATGTTTAATGTGCTGTATGGCTTAAGTTAAAAAAAGTAAATGCTTTCCTAACATTGTAATAATCACCCTCAAAAGCCCTCCAGGAAGGATTCATAGCAGTGCCTAAACGAGTTGTCCTCCTTCTCATGCTTCGAAAAGAAGCCTACTCCCAATTTCCAGAGAAAGCCACGGAAGCTACATACCATTTGCAAATCGGCATTGCTTCAGCACCTCACTGAACCCTTCACATAGTTTCAAATCACTCTGGTTCTGAGCACACTCCAAGAACTGCTTCATCTCATACTGGCAAGGTGTGTATTGGGACTGCTGCATAGCAGGCTCTGCTGACTGAGGCTCCTAAAGAGGAAATGCAAGCAATGAGACTGAGAATTGGAAGAGGGTAAGGGAGAGAACAACAGATCCTGATAAGGAAGCCTAATCAGGACCTCTTCTTGTTACAAACTGCAAAAATGAGGAACATTCTCAGGCCTGCTAACAATTTCATACAACTCCTTTCCTAATCAGCAGGCTTTGTTCCCCCGTTTCTTCGACTAAATATCTCAAGCATTCTATGATATTTAATACAATTATGCTAATAGCAGCAGCCTAAAAAAGATAATAGATGGTTTGTCCTGTGGAACACTTTAAAGAAATGTACTCTTCAAAAAAGAGTAGCACTTCATGTTAAAGTATCATTTTTAGAGCACATTCCCCTTTTTGTTTTCCCTATTTATTAACCAAAAGGATCTCTACAGTTCACAATCTTACTTGACAAGTATACATTTCAAAAAAGGAATAACTTCTTTTACCTGGTAAGTGATGTCAGGTTTTGCAGCTTCAGAGCTTCCACCCCCAAAGCCCCCAGTCATGGCATGTCCTAGAGTATGGCCCACAGCAGAACCTACAGCAACACCTGCAGCTGTGGTGGCCATCTGGGCCATCAGGCCAGGCTGCCTGGGGGCAGGAGAACCCACTGCTGAAGCAGGGGCTGGAGCTGGGACAGGAGCACGCGCAGCCATAGTTGGAGCTGATCGCATTGGTGCACGGCTATGAAAAGAAAGGAGGAAAATAATAAAAATTCACATACTATATAATTCCAAATGCCAACTTCTTTTACATTTGAAGATTACGGAAGATATCTCTCTGCAATACAGTGAGGGAAAAAATTATTTGATCCTCTGCTGATTTTGTACGTTGGCCCACTGACAAGGAAATGATCAGTCTATAATTTTAATGGTAGGTTTATTTTAACAGTGAGAGACAGAATAACAACAAAAAAATCCAGAAAAACGAATTTCAAAAAAGTTATAAATTGATTTGCATTTTAATGAGTGAAATAAATATTTGACCCCTTCACAAAACATGACTTAGTACTTGGTGGCAAAACCCTTGTTGTCAATCACAGAGATCAGACGTTTTTTGTAGTTGGCCACCAGGTTTGCACACATCTCAGGAGGGATTTTGTCCCACTCCTCTTTGCAGATCCTCTCCAAGTCATTAGGGTTTCGAGGCTGACATTTGGCAAATCAAACCTTCAGCTCCCTCCACAGATTTTCTATGGGATTAAGGTCTGGAGATTGGCTAGGCCACTCGAGGACCTTAATGTGCTTCTTCTTGAGCCACTCCTTTGTTGCCTTGGCCGTGTGTTTTGGGTCATTGCCATGCTGGAATACCCATCAATGTTCTGGCTGAGGGAAGGAAGATTTGACAGTACATGGCCCTGTCCATCTTCTCTTTGATACGGTGAAGTTGTCCTGTCCCCTTAGCAGAAAAACACCTCCAAAGCATAATGTGCCCACCTCCATGTTTGACAGTGGGGATGGTGTTCTTGGGGTCATAGGCAGCATTCCTCCTCCTCCAAACATGGCGAGCTGAGTTGATGCCAAAGAGCTTGATTTTGGTCTCAGATATCTGACCACAACACCTTCACCCAGTTCTCCTCTGAATCATTCAGATGTTCATTGGCAAACTTCAGACGGGTCTGTACATGTGCTTTCTTGAGCAGAGGGACCTTGCAGGTGCTGCAGGATTTCAGTCCTTCACGGCGTAGTGTGTTACCAATTGTTTTCTTGGTGACTATGGTCCCAGTTGCCTTGAGATCATTGACAAGATCCTCCCATGTAGTTCTGGGCTGATTCCTCACTGTTCTCATGATCATTGAAACTCCATGAAATGAGATCTTGCATGGAGCCCCAGACCGAGGGAGACTGACAGTTATTTTGTGTTTCTTCCATTTGCGAATAATCGTACCAACTGTTGTCACCTTCTCAACAAGCTGCTTGGCAATAGTCTTGTAGCCCATTCCAGCCTTGTGTAGGTCTACAATCTTGTCCCTGACATCCTTGGGCAGCTCTTTGGTCTTGGCCATGGTAGAGAGTTTGGAATCTGATTGATTGCTTCTGTGGACACTCCCTTTAAGAAAGTGCTCCTAATCTCAGCTCATTACCTGTATAAAAAACACCTGGGAGCCAGAAATCTTGCTGATTGATAGGGGATCAAATCCTTATTTCACTCATTAAAAATGCAAATCAATTTATAACTTTTTTGAAATGCGTTTTCCTGGATTTTTTTTGTTGTTATTTTGTCTTTCACTGTTAAAATGAATCTACCATTAAAATTATAGACTGATCATTTCCTTGTCAGTAGGCAAACGTACAAAATCAGCAGGGGATCAAATATTTTTTCCCTCATTGTATCTCTTGTATGTTTTCATGAACTGCTGCCACATTTCAACCTATTTTATTTTTTTTAATTATATTCCACTTTTCATTCAGGAGCAAAAGAGGCATACGGGTAGTCCTTGACTTACAACCATTCATTTAGTGACTGAAGTTACAATGGCACTGAAAATGTGACCTATGACTGTTTTTCACACTTACGACCATTGCAGCATCCATGTGGTCACATGATCAAGTGACTGCATGATTCACTTAACTGCAGTGATTTGTTTAACAACTGTAGCAAAAAAAAGTCATGGTGCAAAACTTACTTAAAACCGTTTTGCTTAGCAAAAGAAATTTTGCGCTCAATTGTGGTTGTAAGTTGAGGATACCTGTACTTACCACTCTTCGCTATTTTCCCCTACAGCAACCACCCTATGAGGTAAACTGGGCTGGGAAAGGTCATGTTTCAGAGCATACAGCCTAAAAGGACAAGATGGAGCATATCTATGGTTTGCTAATGTTTTGACATGAGACTTTCTGAGAACACAGAGCCAGTATAGTAAATTTGGAAACAATGCAATGAAATTCCAGTTGAAATTGGGAATTATTTTTTCAGTGCCAACCACATTCTCACAGACTTTCTCAACAGATAAGTATATAATCGAGACAGCAAATAATACCTGCTGTATCTTAGTGTCTTGCACCATTACAACATATAAGAGACACTCAAGCAGTATAAACAGCAATATTTATGTCTGTTTTGTTCATGCTTTGCCTTTTTCTCTCAAGAAGCCTGAGCAGATGAAAATACTTAAGTTTCAATATACCGGTAATGTCTGTTACATTGTTACTCTTATATTCAGATGAATCAACTTGTATCAGTCATACAATGTGCCTGTCCCTGGAGAACAAAAAGTTTTCAGACATGCTGTCTGAACCATCCTATGGCACTCTAAAATACTAAAGGGGACAAATTTTTCATAGATAAGATGAGGACCTCTTGTTCACAGTATAAGGTTAGAGATGACTCTTTGGAGCAATCTGATTTTCTTCTTTTCAAAGACAAGGAACATTGATTTTCCCTACTGTAATGTTTAACTGAATTGTCAACATAACGAATTACAAAGCTGTGACACTGCTAGATAAATTAAATATTCACATAGAGCTTATCTAATCTGTACTGCCCAGAAGACAGAAAAAACACAGATATGGCTGATCTTTGGCAAAACTAGCTGATAGTCATTTTGTCCGTATTTTAAAGCTTGTTTAATGGGGAAAAATGATAGAAAATGAAGCCTACATTTAACAGGTTTTGATTGTCCCTACAGAAATCACCCTGAATCATATATAGAAAGTAGGAAGACGCAATTTAAAGCACAATGTATATTACAATTTACAACTGCATTATTATAATTTGCATTTATAATTGTGATTTTTATAAAACACGGAAGCCAGCAACTGTTGCTTTTGAAGACATTTGACACATATAATCCAGGGAAGAACAGACTGTGCTTCCCCAGGATAAGCCTATGGCCACTAAGACTTTAGACTTGACTAGAATGTTTAAGCATAAATTCTACCAGTAGTTTTAGACATCCCAACTCCAAAAGGACTATTTATGGATTAGAAGAAGTTTAGAGGAAGGTAACAAAAATTAAATGGGGATTTGAGATCATGTTCTCTAAGGCAGAGGTCTTTTGGGCACCAAGGACCAGTTCCGTGGAGAAAGGTTTTTCCAGACCGGAGAATACGTGGTTTTGTGTGCTGCTTGCATGCTATGGATGGGGCTTTGCTTATTTGTGTGGCCTGGTTTCTGGCACGCTGCGGCCTGGCACCGGTCCACGGACCGAGGGTTGGGGACCCCTGTTCTAAGGTCAGACAGAGGTTCAGTCTGGATCAAAGATGACCAATAGGAGACATATCAATGGTCAATTACATAAAAAGGCTGCTATAAAGACAGTTTTATTTAAAAGACAGACTCTTTTCTATTATGACAGAAACAAGAATAAAAATATTGGATTTAACTATCTTGATACTGTTTAAGCATCGGGGGAAAAGCATTTTGATGGTAAGACCTGTACAATGCTGGAACAATCTACTCTTGGAATTTATGGGACATCCATCTAGTTAAAAACAGACTGGCTATCCACGACTCAAGGGTAATTGGTTTTTCTGCACACTGCAGCAGGTTGGATTATTTTTCCGATATCTTCCAATTTATGTTTCCATGATTTAACCTTTTTAGATACTTTTGGCCTGGATGATTGAGACTTCATTTACAAGTTGCTTTTCATTTGGGGGAGAAATCTCCTGAAGTCTGTATGGCGGAGAGTTGGTTCATTCCAACAACACTCTGACTCTCTGCCTATCCAAAACTTTCATTTTGACTGAAGAAGTTATTTGGATGAATAATGAAATGTCTCAGTTTTAATAAACTTTGGTCCAATTGCCACGATTTAACCTTTTTAGATACTTTTGGCCTGGATGGTTGACTCCTCATTTACATGTTCCAAGTCCATTCTATACACATCTATGGAGCTATTCCATCTTGCAGCCCACCACTTCCTTTTAACTATGCCTGGGATTTTGGTTTTTCATCCGTTTCACGCCTCTTGACCAACTATTCCTATTGCATACCATGTGCCCCAATCAAATAAATTTGAGTCCGCTTTCAGCCCTCAAACCTAAACTCGGTAAGTGTGGGTCAACCAACCTACCCCACAGGTTTGTTGTATGGCAGCCCTGAAGTGAAGAGAGGCATGTTTGTTGCCTTGAACTACATGAAAGGGAGTCAGTTTGGTGTAGTGATTGATGAACGTGCTTGGCTAGAAATCAGCAAGACTGCTGAGTTTTCTAGGCCTCCCTTAAGACACAAAAGCCATCTGGGTGACTTTGGGCCAGTCAATCTCTCTCAGCCCGGGCCGCCTCTCAGGGTTGTTGTGGGGAAAATATGAGGCAGCAGGATTAAGTATGAATCGCGAGATGGGCGGCATAAAAAAATTTTTTTTTAATAAATGATTTTAATAGTAGACAATGTTTGCCGCCGTAAATTGTATTTTAAAAAAGGCGGGATAAAAAAATCTAATAAGTGAAAACTCCCTCGTGCGATCGGCATCCTCTCTTTTTTAAATCCCCGCCCGCCATGTTCTCTTTCCTCTGCCTCTCGGCAGCCCAACCTCCAAGGATACGCCTCCCCCACTTCTCCAGCCCTCTCAAACGGCCTTCTCATCGTCTCTACCTGACGAGTCGCCGCCGCCGATCACGTGACCCCCCCCCCAGCCGTGACAAGGCAAATTAACAACACCCTGCAACACACACACACCCAGCTACTCTCAACGGCCTTTCAACGCACTCCCATCCAAAACCGCCCCCTTCCCCGGGCCCGTTTAAGGGTCCACCACATTCTCATGGCTGCCCTCCATCCGTGTCCGGATTTTGCAGCCCGGCTTCGGTCCCTCTGGCTCAGTGTTTCTCAACCTTGGCAACTTTTACGATGTGTGGACTTCAACTCCCAGAATTCTCCAGCTAGCAATGGGAGTTGGGAATTCTCCAGCTAGCAACGGGAGCAATGGGGCAATTTTGGGAGTTGAAGTCCACACATCGTAAAGTTGCCAAGGTTGAGAAACACTGCCTAGCTCAGTGGTAGGCAACCGTGGCTCTTTTATGACTCGTGGACTTCAATTCCCAGAATTCCTGAGCCAGCTATGCTGGCTCAGGAATTCTGGGAATTGAAGTCCACGAGTCATAAAAGAGCCACGGTTGCCTACCCCTGGCCTAGCTGCATGCTACCTCTCACCTGGCGGGTGGCGCCATCCGGGACGTTCGGCTTCGGCTCCCCCTCGGCATGGTGATCAAGGATGAGTTCAACCTTCCTTTCGCTGCAGCGGCTTCTTCTCCTGATCGGCGGTAGCTCCCTCGTCCCCTCCTCACCGAGGCGTCCTTCGCGTTTTGTAATGTTTCTTTTTTTCACTTCCGGCCCGAGTACCACTTCCTCCGGGCCCAAGGTCACCGAAGCCGCTTCGCCTCAAAAGACATGCGCGATGACGCAACCGACTCCGCGGCCTAAGAGCTCCGAGTTTGTGGAAAGCGAAGAGGGCGTCGGCGCTTGGATCACGTGATTGGGGGCGGGGCCCGAGAGTGACCTCAAGGAAATCTGAATATTAGGCCCAGGACGTATCTCCATTTTTTTTTAGCCTTCCGCTCAAAAACCCTTACGCCAGTGTTTCTTAACCTTGACAATTTTAAGGCATGTGGACTTCAACTCCCAGAATTCCACAGCCAGCATTGCTGGCTGCTGAATTCTGGGAGTTGAAGTCCACATGTCTTAAAATTGTCAAGGTTGAGAAACACTGCCTTACGCAGCGTAACAGAATTGGAGGGAATCTTAGAGGTCCTCTAGACTTCTTGCCTGATTTTTTTTTCTCCTAGGTGCTCTTCAGATGTGCCAGACTTCAGCGATAGCTGCAATTTGGCATATTTGGAGAGCATCCACAGAGAAGGCTGCAGATGTTTTAGTCAAAATGCTGCTGCAGCCTTTCTTTTTCCCCTCCCTGCTTTCCCAGCATGGCAGACATACACTGGAATGAATACCATATGTAGTTTTGGAAGCACCAGCCCACCTCTTCTTTCCCTCGTTGTCCACCTGTGCTACCCAGAATTTTAGGCTTTATTATTAGTTTTTTAATCATTCTAAAGGAGGCATGGATGCCGTGCTAAAATACTAATACCACCTTTTTAATAAAGGTGATATTAGTATTTTAGCACGGCATCCATGCATCCTTTAGAAATTCAGAAAACCATGTTCTCCTTTTAGCCATAATTTTGGGTACAAAAACTGGCCTTTTCAGCAAGGCTGAAAACTATAGGGAGCGGATTCTGGAGGTCCTTGAATATACTTGCAGGTTTTAAGCTGGAAATGTGGCTGGAAAAGGGAGTGCTGTAATGTAACTCAAATTTACCATTTGCAGAATGTTATCTAGAATCAGTGTTTTCTATTGTTTAATTCTCACATGTAATCAATGTCTGATCACTTGTTTTCTGATGTATGACATATACTGATTTTTATGCTCTATAAAAACTTGACCCCCCTCCTTTTTAAGGCTGCTTGACTTTTCTCACATCTAATCAATATTTATTTATTTATTTGCTGCTTTCTGCTACATCACATTTACTGTATCATTTGACATCCCTGCCTTAATAAACTTCTTTCACTTTGCCTGAAGTATTTGTGGTTCATGGGGGGGGGGGGAGAAAAAGTAACTGCAACATTAGTGTCTCTATTCCAATTCCAAACAACTTGAGTAACTGAGTTTTAAAGGCAACAATTCATCCAAGTTCCTTTTCATTCAGTTCTTCACTCAGGTGTATCAAGCACAGCTATTTGTTTTCTAGACCAATGATTTTCAAAATGTGGTCTGGAGACCTGAGGAACACCTGAGGAAGCTGTTGTCTCACAGATAACAAAAGTGGGGGGAAAAGATGTAATAATGCAAAGAGTGGAACAAAAGTGCCCAGACTTGGTGTTATTGAGAAGAAATGGCTTCTAAGTTATACAACAGGAAACCGAAGTGGACAGAGACTCTGGAGCACAGCAGCATACCCTGAAGAGTTTTTTCAGCTACAGAGCAACTGCAGTCAGAGATTGTGAGAAAAGATGCTCAGCAGGTGATCATTTCTGGAGCCTGAAAAAACAAAACAAAAAACATAAGGTACCTTGAATCTGCAGCCCAACTGATTACCTTGCCCAGTTTTGGCAGCAATAGACCTGTGGAAGCAAGGTTCACTGCCTTGGTGAAAGAGACTTAAAATGTTTGTGAAGCCATTAAGGGTACCCATTCAAGGCAGACCGAATTATCCACTGTGCAGTTAAATAACTGTCTGCATTTATAGAACCAAAAGGAGCAGGGATGAGAAAGACTACAGCAGAAGAATGCAACATTTCATTTTGATTACAGAATCAGAAGGCATATCTGCAAAGGGCATTTTACTCCTATACATGAAAACATGGAAATTAGATGTTTTCATTATTCAGCAGGATCCTTATTTGCTTTGGAGGAAACCAAGGAAAGGAGCTGGTTTTCCAATTTAAAAAGGGTTCACTGTATGAAGTACTCCTGAAGCCCAATTGTATCAGCAGTGTGGTTCACAAGGGATGATTTGGACTCTATCCTCTTTTAACTGGATGGTATCATGATATGAGAAAGGAAATGAAAACATCTCCAGAACTGTACTAGGAAGAGCTTAACAGTCCTAATATATTTTGTAAAATACTGAAGAGCACATGCATTTATCCAGGAACAGCTTCCTAATGTCACCAGGAAGCCACCTGCTAGAGAGTTAGGACTGGCTGGAACTCATATGGAGAAGAACAGTCTATATCAGTGTTTCTCAACTTAGCGACTTTGAAATATTTGGATTTCAGCTCCCAGAATTCCCCAGCTCTACATGATAGGTCCTTTGAAGGGGAATATATTGTGACTCAAAGGCAGGTAAAGCTTAACTAGAGAGAAAAAATATATTTTGGAGATCTTGTTCTAGAGATCAGAAGTACTGAGGAAGATAACTGGGCTTCTGGCAGCATATCTATTATAAATATAGTCAAAGCGCCCTTATTATTGCTCCAATCATCATTCCATCTATTTGACTGGGATAATATAAGGCTCTTGTCTTGAGTGATTCTACAATTATATTGCTCTCGAAATGGGAGGGGAGCGCAAAGAATACAAAGCGCGCAGGTATGGGGGGAGCAGCCTTATTCCCATGAGTATCAGCCGTGCAGCCTGGGGAGGGTAGGCACTATAGCTTATCCCATCTGCAAGGCACCCAGAGCAGAGAAGGCTCTGAGAGCGGGACGATGCTTGTTTGACCGGCCAGCAAAGCCCCGCACCTTAGCGTCGGCTTCTGCGCGTTTTCTGGGTTGCAGAGGGGCAGATTTAGGTCCTCTTCCCGAGCGCTGCTGGAGGCGACGTTTGGCTAAGCTAGCTCGAATCTTGGCGGTGATCTTCCGCTCGTGGCCGGCCGGGACGCGCCAATTGGTGCGCTGTTCCCTGGAGCGGCGGCTGCGGCCCTTCCCACCAGATCCGGGACCCCGCGGGCCATCGCGCCAAGCCCGCTCCCGCAGCCTCGCCACGCGCTCCTCCTCCCACTCGGAGTCCTCCGACCCAGAAGAGGGCGCCGCTACTATGGACGCCCTTGTGCCGCTCCGCCCGCTTCGCATGACGGCGCCTGGGCTTCGCCTTCCGCCCCGAAATGTTGTCTCTCTCTCTCTCTCTCTTACCCCGCCCTCGCTTCTGTCTTGTCATTGGCTGAGGCTGAGGCGGGTCCTTCCCACCTGCGTCACAGAGCCGGATCTTAATACTACACCTTTCTCAGGCTCTAGGAGTTGCCGTGGTGACGCAGTTCTGAGGTTAGAAACTGGGAGACCTGCAACTCTATCATCTATTCTACAATACAGGTAGTCCTCAACTTAGACCACAATTGACCATAAAATTTCTGTTGCTAAGTGAGACAGTTGTTAAGTAATTTTGCCTCTTTTTACGACTTTTCTGCCATAGCTTATAAAGTGAATCACTGCAATTGTTAGTTAACATGGTTATTAAGTGAATCTGGCATCCCTGTTGACTTTGCTTGTCAGAAGATAACACAAGGTGATCACATGACCCGGGACACTGCAACTGTCATAAATATGAGTAAGTTGACAAGCGTCTGAATTTTCATGGGGATGCTGCAAGTGTGAAAAAGGGTAGTAAGTCACCTTTTTCAGTGCTGTTGTAACCTCAAACAGTCACTAAATCAACTGCTGTAAGTTGAGGATTACCTGTAATGTTTCTCAACTTTGGCAACTTTAAGATGGGTGGATTTCAACTCCTGGAATTCTTTATGCTTTTCTACAGTATAAAGAAGATGAAAATGTTTATGATCTGTACTGTTAATTTCAGTCTATGTTTAAAGTATAATTACAGTTTGAATTTTCATTCTCTATGGGAGTCATTAATAATTACAAATGAGAAAAGTGCATTTTTAAATTTCAAAAAAATGAAAACTCTGGTAAATAGTAAAAAAAAGTCTGTTGCTCTATAACACGGGTGTCAAACTCGATCACGTCATGTGACGTGATGTATCACGTTTTTTGCCTTTGCGGAGCTGGGGTGGGCATGGCCTACATGTGATGCATCTGGCCCATAGGCTGCCAGTTTGACACCCCTGCTCTACAACAAAAGACAAAAATAGCCCTTGGTCATTCTGGGTTTTTTTTTAGTTTTTTTAGAATTGTGTACATAAAAATGTACAGTACAAAGACAAGGCAAAACAATACAGAGAAGGCCTTGAATATTTTTCAGCAGGTGCCCCGGAAATTATCACCAGAATCATCTTTGCTTGGCATAAAGAAGGCTTTATTTGTTCAAGTTCTAGTCACAAATTTTATCTCCATGTTTCCTCATTATTAGTTGACAAGCTATCTTCTGCTTAAAGCACATAAAACAATGATAGTGTTATAAAAGAAGAATACTCAAACTGCCATGGAACCCACCTGTTTCTTTGAGCTGAAGTGAAGTGAGACTTCACTTGAAAGAAAACCATAACAGCAGCCTTGCTGCAAACCATCAAGGCCTTTTCTAGATCAGCACTTGGTTTCTCAAAACAATTAAGCACATGTCTCTGCAGATGAGACTGCCACTGCTCTCTGTCTGCTTGTATTCAAAGGTATGCTAACTCTGACCCAGAGATAATAAGAGTCTAAGCCATTGAGAGACCTGTCCTCCGTGGATTTATCTGATCACCTTTGAAACTGGTCATCACCATGCATCACAAATAACCATGAATTCACAGCATAATTATGTGTTCTGTTTCTTTTCTCCTTCCAGTCAGCTGTATTTGTAATTCTTGGCTCTGGTGTTTGAAGAGAGGGAGTAAAACTCCCTGTCTACTTTCCCCACAGCATGCATGATTTTATATTGGCAGAACCCAGCAGATAATTTAACAGAGGGTAATCAACTAGTTTGTATGGCTTCATGCTAGAATGCAGTAAAGATCCTTAATCTAGTTGTGCTGTGTCATATATCTAAAAGCCTTTAGGTGAGTTCAAACCTCAATACTAACCTGCACTATGTTCAGTGTCTGGGAATTTCTCTGGAGATTTTTGCTATAAATGCCTGACAGATTCCACTTCCAAAATGTGTCAAAAGTGACTTACTTAGCTCCATTATTGTTAGCGACTAAATTTCATTTTTTGATGTGTGCCGTTGTGCCCACAATACAAAAATGACAATAAAGGTTATCTTTTCTCAGAGAATACTATCTGTGCCATGGATTCAACTACATATCCAACCATTTTTCCTTTATTGAATTAGAGAATGTAAGGATTGGACCTTCAAAGGATTAAGAGATCTAAATATCTAGCCCAATGTTGCTCACTGCAGGAATCTTCTACTACAGTATCCCTAACAGATGTCCATCCAGCCTCTATTTCAACACTTTCAACACCCCCCAAAGCACTCTGTACCATTGTTGATTTTTTCTGATGACTCACCAAAATCTACTTTATTATTTAAGCCCTTGTTCCTTGTCCTACCAGAACAAGTTCGCTCCATCTTCTGCATGGTGTGCTTTCACTTTTCACAATTATCATGCTACTCAATTTTTTCTCCAGGCTAAACATATTCAACAACTCCAACTGTTTCTCTTTTTTTTGCCCCCTTCTAGCCCCCTCAATGCCCTGATTGCTGGATGGATGAATTCAGCTAGTCAGTTTATTCAATAAGCCATAGTTGAGCAGCTGAGCTATTGTGTGTTGCAAGCTATTCAAGGTCACAAAATCTTTGAAAAATCTTAACACAATAAATCGCAGCTTGTGAGAGCAAGAGACAAAACCAGACTTCCACTCCTTGTTTCAAACAGCAAATCTCGCGATGTCGTTACTTCTTAAGAGGCAGGTGGGCGGGGTTGCCTCCCGCGCTCGCGAATGATTGGTTAGTTGGTTTCGACTCTGGTACGACGGAAAGCGCCACGTTCTGCTCAGAACAGAAAAAAGAGGAGGAGAAACACCCATGGCCCGGCAAGCAGCCGACGCCAGGAGAAAGTGGGCGTGGTTTTTCTTACGGCGGCAAGCCAATGAACGAGTGGTGCGCGCGCTCTGCATTTCGGCGTGGTGTAGCGTGCCCTGCGCGCGCACAGGGGCGAGAAGTCTCCTGCCGGGTCCGCCTAAGCGAGGGCTGGGCTAAGATGGCGGCGCCCGTCCTGCTGCGAGTCTCGGTGCCGCGCTGGGAGCGGGTGGCCCGCTACATCGTGTGTCTGGCCGGAATTATTCTTTCGCTCTACGCCTACCACCTAGAACGTGAGAAGGGTCGCGACCTCCAATACCAGGCACTCTGTGACCTCAGCGAGCGTGTCCGGTGCTCCTCTGCCATCTCCTCCAGGTCAAGCAAGTGGGAGAATACGGGTGGGGGTTAAGGCGGAAGCCACCAGGAACTGTTTGGGATTTGGCTAACCGTGATTGTTCGAAAGTTAGGAGAGCTGCTGAGTGTTTGTAGAGTTACCCATCCTTTCTCCAAAATGATTCTGATTCAAATTCACTAGTCGTTCAAGTTTTGAGGGGTATTTCCTCAGCCCTGAGGCTTTGCTTAAAACCGCTCCGTGATTGAAAACTTATTTACTAATACAAGAATCGCAGAAATAAGTCATTCTCAATATTAATTTCTCTCCCTAAAGTCTCCCTTGTTAATAGTGTTGGCCTGTGTTACAGAGCTGTTAATCACAGCTAGAGATGCAAAGAGTATTGATTGTTTTTCTGGATGAGTTTATCAGAATGCTGAATGCTGTTTTTAATTAACAAGAAAGGAAAGAGAAAGGAGAAGGGAAACATTAAAAAGTAATGAGATGAAAAAGCTTAGCACAGCAGACCACAGCAAAACTGTAACATACTAACTAGGTTAGTTAAGCAGTGTTTATTTACTAGCATTACTATTAGTTACTAATATACTAACACAAAAAATGGTTTTAATGAGAAGTCCATTTATCAAACTCGTTTGATAAGGGCAGATCTGTGAAACCTATTGTAATTGCCAATCATTTCCTGTTTAAATTTTGTGAGTGAATTTTTAGGGAGCTTCAAGACTTTACAACTGAATTAAATGGAAAAGCTCCAAGAAAGCTCAGAATATTTAAATGGACTTTTCCATTACTTTACCCTGTTAAATGTTTTCTCTAGAGTAGGTTGTTAATCAGTGTTGATAAATTGATTTTATAAGTATGCTTAATGCCTGGATGTACTTGAAGGAGAGCATGTGGTTATGGACTGAAGCAGAGAATTGAAAGAATGGGGTGTGGTTGCATTCACTAATCTGGGGTGTGAAACCGAACTATTTTTACTTTGGCTGTATACTGTGTAGGCTTCAAGAATCGAGAGCTTGTGATAAGTTTTTATCTGATGATGTCTGCAGAGCCTTACTGAATGAACTGAGCGGGTGGTTTGTAAAAGTTAGGGAAAGGAAACATTTAGAAAAGTCAAATGTATGTAGAGGAAGACTAAATTCAACAATGCCTATAGGTGTCTCTAAAATATAACTATGCTATTGCTTACTAGCAGAATTTCAATAGAGTTCTGATATGAAAACATTAGAATCCTTGCTATTTGACTTATCATTCCCTCTCCTCCCCCCAGTGCTCCTGACAGTACCATGATATTATTTTTTCAGTTATGTTCAGAGCTAAATCGCCTAACCAGATACAGTGAGAGTCTTTGACCCCTATTCACACATCAGTTTTAATTAACAGACAGGTAATGTTGTTATCATAGTTAGCTTGGTTAGAGAGTAGGATGTTAAATCCTATTATTCTCCAAGGCGCCTGAAGGCAGGATGAGAAGCAACGGATGGAAACTGATCAAGGAGAGAAGCAACTTAGAACTAAGGAGAAACTTCCTGACAGTTAGAACAATTAACCAGTGGAACAACCTGCCTCCAGAAGCGGTGAATGCTCCAACACTGGAAGTTTTTAAGAAGAGACTGGACAGCCATTTGTCTGAAATGGTGTAGGGTTCCTGCCTGGGCAGAGGGTTGGACTCGATGACCTCCAAGGTCCCTTCCAACTTTATTATTATTATTATTATTATTATTATTATTATTATTATTATTATTATTATTATTATTATTATTATTATTAATCATCGCACAGTCAGCCAGATGTTCAGACTGGATTTGGCATTTTGTCTACCTATCGAGTCCTTACCAAGGACCTGGGATAGGCAGATGTGGATGTTTGATGGTATTACAGATATCGTCGCAAGATGGAAGCAGTTCCTAGTAAGGCTGCCTTTTGCAGTTATTATTATTATTATCATCATCATTATTATTATTATCATTATTATTATTAAATCTAAAGGGTCAGTTCAAAACAGGATAACCTCAGGCTAGGGGCTAAATCAGAAAAACTAAGTAAAATAAAGGAACGTCAATCATATAAGATGACTACAAAAATTATGAGAACAGCACTGGTGAACCACTTTAGCTGGAGGACTACATTCTTCTACAGACCATGGATTAGTAATAAATGAAATGTTTAAAGTGGGTAGAACCAAGAAGAGGGTTTTTTGCTGTGTTTCATCTCCTTTTCTGCCACTGTATTTGCTTTCTTTGCATTGACAAAAGGGACCGGGGCTCTTTTCTAAAAGCATAAATTAAAATTTGTTTGCTCAATGTCAGAGATCACTCTTCTGCATTGCATGCCTGATCTGTTGATTTTCTTCTTTACTGAAAAAAGAAGTTCCTTCTCAGAGAACAAATTAGCAGGGCCAGGACATGTTTATTAGGCTTGTGGGAGATTAAATCTTAGGCAAAGACAGAGTGAGCAAATCCTGGTTTCTTCCTTTCTTTCTAGAAATTAAGTAGCATTGATTATTTTGTAGAGTATTTTTCAGGGTTGAATCTTGGCGGTCTCCTGCGTGTTGTAGTTTTTGCTAGAGAGGGCATATTCTACAAGTGTCATATTTTCAAAAGTTGAGTAACATCTGAACATTTTACAGCCATAGGAAACTTGGACATTTGTGTATAAAAAAAGCACTTTCCAGTAGTTTTTCAGTTTAGAATTGGGAAATGTCTGTAAAATTGTAAACTGGTTGAAATAGTGATGCAATAAAGGTGTGACATTTAGAAAGGAAAAGTGACAAAGGGGAGCTTGCTGAAGTTGTGTCCATGGATTTGTTTTGTTTGATTTCTTGCTATGGATATATAACAAACAAATCAAACTGGCTTTGAATATTGAAAAGATTTGAACTGAAGGTGGTAGAGCCAGCATCAAATAACTTTAGCTAATCCGACTTAGGCAAGAAAACCGATTGTAACATTTTGTATATAGTAATCTAAGAATAATATAACAGAACTTTTCAGTCCAGTTATGCACTGTTATTTAGATCTATATTCTTTACCTTGCATGTTCAAATAATACTAATTTCTAGTCTAATCCTCTCTGTGAAAAGAAGTTTGACATAGGGATTTAGCTAGATTTGGGCCAAAAGGGCTTTTTGTCTATCTCTGTCTCCGTAAACAACTATATGTACTGTATACAGTATTTGAAAGAAAATCTTGTGGGCTATTGCAATATCTGTAATGTAAAGGTCAGGCAAAGAAAGGCTGACCCTTCCCCACTTTTTTCATTTGTCCTACACATTACTGCCAGCCTTGTTGGTTTCTTGTCCACTTACATGTGGATCTGTGTTGCTCTGTTTAGATATTACTAATGATCCCACCTTTGAATCAAAAAAAGCTTCCAGGTATTTTGTATCATCAGAAATCCAAACGTTGTTGCCTACAGCTTATGATCAGAAAGGAATAATACAGAAGGAACTAAAGTTAGAGGGAAAAAGCAAGTGTATCTCTTGTATCATGTAGTAATCAAAGGATTGGGTCTAATCAAGTGGAAAGGCTGCTGCTGCTTCCTTTCATAGTTTCATGGCTGCTGATGGCAGTTGCTAGTTAGAGAAAGGGATCTCCCAACTAAATATGTATTTGGGCATGATGGAGAATGCTTGAGTGTAATTTCTTGCCCCTCTGATAGTATGAATGATAGTTGGTGGTTATGCCATCACTCTAGGAACTGGGAGATTGTAGGTTCTAGTCCTGTCCTGCCTTGGGCACAAAGCCAGTTGGATGATCTTGGGCCAGTCACTTTATCTCAACCATAGGAAGAAAACAATGGCAAGCCACTTCCCAAATTTTGCCAAGAAAATTGCAGGGACTTTCCAGACAGTCAATAGGAATCAACATTGACTCAAAGGCAAGAATAAAAAGTTGAAGAATCAGTGGACCAGCTAATTAGCAGCTGCAAGAAGCTCACACAGAGTGACTACGAACAATAGTTTGACTAAGTAACAACAATGCTTCATTGGAATATTTGCAAGAAATACCATTTGCCTGCAAGCAAGAACCAGTGGGACCACAAAATAATAGAAAGTAATAGAAAATGATGAAGCTAAAGTTCTCTGGGATTTTGGAACTCAAACAAGCACCTGCCACATAACACCCGAGACCTAACAATTGTCAATAAGAAAGACAAAAAAGTCTGGATTGTGAATATGGCAGTACCTGGAAACAACAGAACAGAAGAGAAGGAACTGGAGAAAGTTGCAAAATAGAAAGATCTGCAAATAGAACGACGTGGCAAAAGAAAACAAAGGTAGTACCAATAGTAATGTGTTCCTTGGGTGCAATCCCAAAACATTTGAACACTATCGGTATTGATAAAATAACCATCAGTCAGTTGCAAAAAGCAGGTTTACTTGAAACAGCTTACATCCTATGGCAGTGCCTTTAATATTATTAAACAACAATAGCTGCCTACCCTAGGTCATTGGGAAGGACTCAGTAGGTGGTGGTGGTGGATAAAAATGCCAAATCTAGTCTAAACATCTGACTGACTGTACTAATAATAATGCCAAAAATGTACTAGTAATAATAACAATAGATGCATATTCATGTGGTACTCATCAGTTCTCTGTTAGGTTATGGTCAGGCCGATGTTTATGTTATCTTCATAGCATTGACAAAATGTAGGTATTCTTTGCATATCTATTGCCAAGTTTCAAATACATGTTTTCTAATGAGTTGGGCCACCATTTTGTTTGTTCAGATACTTTGTGAAAGTTATAGTGGAACAGTTAAGAAATGTGAACAGTACAGTCCAAACACATCTGGTGGTTGTAAAGTTGAGGTAGACTGTTCAAATGAGAAAATGGGAAGCTTATTTGCTTGTTTCATCAAATAATATTTTTCTAATTTTGTACTCTCCTTGTTCCACTGAATGTCTGCTCCCTTTCTCCAAATTTTTGGAGAAGTTTACGCTCTCCATAAACTTACTGAGGAATCTAGAAATTCTGCTTGTAAGTCAACTTGGTTAAAAATAATATCAGCATTTATTAAAATACATTCAAATGGAGAAAAATAATATTTTGACAGTGGTTGCTTTAACCAGGATGTGTTCATGAACTAATTCTTATTCCTGAATTTAGTTGAAGTTATCTCAGCAAAAGTCTGGAAAGGCATTATTAATTGGCAATTGCCATTTTCCTGGAAGTTTGCACAAAAGAATTGGACTCAAATGATGATGTGAATTTTCTGAATCAGAAGTTGACATTTCACTACAATTCCTCACTTCAACTCCATATTTTTTTTACCACGGACATTAAGAACTGTTGAGAGCATTGCTCTCTCTATTAATGTATATAACCCCTTTCACAATTCAATCACAGAGGCCTACTCAAAAATCAAACCACAAGACCTTAATTTTAATGTGCCTAAACCACTGGAAAAATTCCTCTTAGATGTTAAATCAATCCATTATCAGTACTATAAAATGTGTGTGTTAATATGTGTGTTAGTGTGTATGTGTGTGTTAATATGATTTGACCTGAAACAGAAGCTTTTATTAAAAAAATCTTTATTTAGTGGCCTGAAGGCAATTCATTTGCTGTCTTGAATAGTACTTATGGATTTTCTTTGGGTAGGACTGATAAACAATCTTAAGATCATTGGATTATATAAATTTGGCCATATCTAATTCCTGCACTTTGGAGTGAGGTCCCCCAAACATCCAGGTGGCCCCACATTGCTTTATTTTATTTTATTATTTTATTTTATTATTTTATTTTATCAGAAGGCCTTGGGTTAGGATGGGGGTAGCCCCTTCCAAGGAATGGATGTGCTTTGTTGCTGCATTTTTTGCCCTCATTTTCCTTATTTTTGCAATTATTGTATTTTTTTGCTTTTTTACTTGTGAACTGCCTAGAGTTTTTAGGAATCAGACAATGTATAAATGTAATTAAATATAAAATATAAGTAATATATAAGTCAAAATGAATACACTATACAGTATAGAACTTGCCTTATCATTTATTTGGCAACTGGTTCCCTCCACCCAGTGTTCTCTGCTCAGCCTTTTGTAAATCTGCTGCCCTCCTGAAGTTTTGGATTAAAGTCCCATCATTCTCACTGAGTACAGTCATAGTACCATTGTGTTATGTGTTGTTTAATCATGATTTATTGAATCAGCCACAGATGGCTAAGTTAAGCCAACAGTTAAGCTAAACAGTGTCCCTACTCAATGTACCATCTATTCCCTTCATCTGCAATTGTTCTCACTGAAGATGCCAGGATCAAAGAGTACCTCTTATACATAAAACATGTGCTATTCCACTAGCCTCCTTCTGATTCCTAGGATGGGGTGGAAGAGAGCAGAGAATAGATGGGTGGCACAATTACTTTGCAATGAACATTTTTACTCAGGTGAAAGTTATTTACCCACAAGCAATCTGACTTTTATGGTTGGTAGTTGCTTACTAATGGTTGTCCTCAAGTGTTGTAAAAAGTTGCACAAATTTAAGAATCAATATAAGTACTCTTTTCTCAAGCAGAAGATAGTGTGGGCCCAGCAAGATGTAGCATTTTGTAGTGTTGTCTTGAGCAGCCAAACTCTTATGCCAATAGTCAAGTGTAAGACAAAGTGTGACTAAGTTTAGAACTCTGAGTTCTGTTTTATATGGGTGTGTATATTGCACACCCAGTCCATGATTAGTGCCAAGTTGCCAGTGTTTGTGCATTTCTTAAAAAGGTTCATTGAATTGGGTCAAAAGCCCCATGTTTTAGAGCTCAGGTGGCTTAGACTCATTCACACAGTAAAGGCTATAAATGCGATAACTGGGTTAACCAGTAATGCAAACTTCTTGGAGTAATATTTTAAAGTTGGTGTGTTTAAAGCAATTTGTCTTTTTTCTTTGCCCCTTTTCACTCATTGAAAATAACTCCAGAGTGGAGCTTAGTTAAAAATGGATTACCAGTGTAACTTGGTTCCCCCCCCCCCCCATCAGATATGTGCTTCTTAATCTAGAGGTATGATTGGACATAGTTTTGGGAATATTTAACTGGTTTTTCTGGTCTCTGAACAGATAGCAGTTTATGTATACTGATCCCAAATGTACAGTACCATTTTTTATTGAGAGTAGAAATGTCTCTCCAGGCGTTCTGGGGGAGATGTCTCCTTGCCTTGAAGCCTGGGCCTTTCATATGTGAAAGATCAAATCTGTGATAGAGCTGTAAGCCTTCTAGGCTAAAATGACACCTTGCACTAAACCGTAATGTGGTTTGCAGTTCCACAAACTATTGAAAAATATTATAATCCCTTAAACTTTTTAAACAAAAACTCCAACTGTCTTGGGCAAATCAATCTGCTCTTCACATAACTGACATAAGGATCCTCGGGCTCCTAAAATGCAGCATTTCTTAAGCCCTATTTCAGTTGAAATGCAAAAACATAAACCCGGTTCTTTCTTATAAAAATATCTTAGAAGAATGGACACATTTCTTTGCATATATTTAGGTGATTTATATTAATTTAGTGTATTAATGCTTAGGATTCTTTATCTGTTAATCGTTGGATTCTACTCTTTTCTTTTAATTTGTATATTTTTCTGTATTTCTCTTTTTTAAAAAATCGTGATAACACTTAAAACACCTGATGCTTTTTGCATTAAAAACAGGCACACCTACTTTCAACCCATATCTTCTCCGCCCATTTGGCTCTTGATTTCAGAAATGCAGAAATCTGCTCAGCATATCTGGAAGTTAATCATACCTTCAGCAGGGTTCAGGCTGATACAAGCAGATGATTCATTTACTCCTATACAGTTCTGCAGATTATTGCTTTTCACCTGTATTCTGATTTAAGCTTCCTGGATTTGGGGGGGGGGGCTGGGGCGGGGAGAGGAAGTGCCTGCTGAGTCACATATGTATAGGTATAGGACAGGGGTAGGCAATCTTGGCTCTTTTATGACTCGTAGACTTCAACTCCCAGAATTCCTGAGCCAGCCAAGCTGAGCCATTCTGACTCAGGAATTCTTGGAGTTGAAGTCCACGAGTCATAAAAGAGCCAAGGTTTCCTACCCCTGGTATAGGAAATGTTATAATGGAAAGTGAAAAAATACTCTACAGCAGTGATGGCAAACCTTTTAGAGACCGAGTGCCCAAACTGCAACCCCAAACCCACTTATGCATTGTCGGGTGCCGGGTGGGTGTGGCCCATTGGGTGGGCATGGTTGGGTGGTAACGGCAGACTGGGTGGGATTAAAAAGTTCAATCAATCAATTCCAACTTTGCAATATCTTTTTTTTCCCCCGCGAGAAGTTGAAATTGACTGATTGATTGAACCTTTTTTTTTTTTTTGCACACGGCGGCGGAGGCCTAAAGTGAAAAGGTTTTATAAAACCCAGCTGAAGGCCTAAGACTGGGGCGACGGTGCGTGTGCCCACAGAGAGGGCTCTGAGTGCCGCCTCTGGTACCCGTGCCATAGGTTCGCCACCACTGTTCTACAGCCAGGCATTTTAAATTTTATTTTAAGGACTATACTGTAGTTCATTACTGAAAGTCAGTTTGGTGTAGTGGCTAAGGCACTCCGGCTAGAAATTGGGATACTGTGAGTTCTAGTCCCACCCTAAACATAAAGCCAACTGGGTGACTTTGGGTCAGTCACTCTCAGCCCTAGGAAAAAACCAAGGGCAAACTACTTCTGAAATCTTGCAAAAAAAACAAAAAAAAAACCTATGCAAAGACTAGTCCCTAAGTCAACCCTGACTTGAAGGCAAAAAACCTCAAACCAAACCAAACCAAAAATTCCCTCCAAACAACCAGATAGGAAAATTCTAATAAAAACAAAAATCATCAAGAAAAATAAAAACCCTTATCCTGAGTAGCAGCGATAGTTACTATTTGAAATGAAATTTGCATAAATTTTTCTTCTGCTTTGCATTGGGGATTATGTATTTGCAATATTCAGAATGATCAGTGGAGAGGATCTACACTGCTAAAGATAGTGCTTAGTTGGGTAATGGGTAGCATCTTGTTTGTGATGGATTAGGGCTCACGCATCGCCCTAAGACCTAGCATGCCTATTTGTTTTAGATTAGAGTGTTTTAGTAGCTTTAATAATTATTTATTAAATTAAAGTAGCTTTAATAAATATAGTTTATTATTGCATATTGTGGATTATTTGGTAAGCCACAGCTTATAATCAAGATTTAGCATAGTCTGAATGTTGTTCAATAAATTAGCAGGGAACACCATCCATCCATCCTATAATGCTATATATTTATTACCTGACTCGTTCATAGTGAATGGGGGTACATAAGTGCGTTGTGTGTATAGATCTGTATTTTTTATTAAAGCAAGTGCTTACCACTTAAGACTTAATGGACTATTTTCTTTCAGATGGGGTCGAGGATTTGGCCTACTAGGCTCCATTTTTGGAAAAGACAGTGCAATAAATCAACCAAACAGCGTTTTTGGTCTTATATTCTATATACTGCAAATGTTGCTTGGTAAGTAGTGAACTACCATGTCTCATTCCTGCCTACCTCTTCCTTACTTTTTGCTCCTCTAGGCAAGAAGTCAGGATATAAATTTTTTTGTTGTGATTATTTCAGTCTAGTAATCAAAATCTTGTACAATATGTATTGAGTCCTAACAATTGTAGCATGTGCTTCACTAATCTCCCATTTAATTCATGTCTGCCTGACAAATCTGATGTCTAAGTCAGGGGTCCCCAACCCCTGGTCCATGGACTGGCACCGGGCTGCGGCATGCCAGAAACCGGTCCGAGCAAACAAGCAAAGATGCATGCAGCACACAAAACCACACCCTCTCCGGTCCGTGGAAAAACCTCTCTACACGGAACCGGTCCCTGGTGCATAAAAGGTTGGGGACCTCTGGTCTAAGTCACGTTCACAGTCCTCTCAGCAGTGCCTGCAGATCCTAAAGCCAAGCTGGAAATGGTTGCTAATTCCCAGGGATTTCAAAGCAGGTTTTCTTTTGGAATCAACATTGGAGAACTGGGGGGGGGGGGGGCTGATAATCAGATTCCTCTTTACCTCCTTCCGTTATCTATCATAGCTAGAATTCCCTTCCCAATCTTCTCCACGGTGTGTTTACTACTTCCTTTAGATCCAGGCCAGACTTGCAAATAGCCGCTGCTTTAGTTGCTTCTATATGATGGCAAAGAAAAAAAAATTCCCTCCAAACAACCAGATTGGAAAATTCTAATAAAAATAAATATGTCTCTTTTCCCCCAAAACCTTAATTAATTAAATTTTAAATGATTATGCACAGGTAATCATGATGCATTATACACAATACTGTTTTTGTGAGTGTATTTGCAGGTGTGTGTAACAGTGTCTGCTCCTGTTCACCCCTGTCTGCCCTTGCCTCTTTCATCCTCCCGCTCCCTCTCTTCTACTCTCCCTACTATCAGACTTCAGGTTCTGGGGCCAGGATCCATTCTCTATTTGCATGCCCTAGAAAAATGCCATGCATGACATTGTTGCTGTGTAAAACAATATAGGGAGGACTTGTGCATCTTCTTCACCTGAGACATGGGAGCTGTACCCGCAGTGAGTGTGTATGAATTTCCTACAGGAGTCCTAGATCCTCTGCTTCAACATCTTGACCAGTTTTCCAGTTCTGTTATGAAGTAACTTTTGGATCTTCAAAGAGTGTTTTGTAACTGAGCAAACACTATGAAAATGCATATTTAATATAATGAAGAGTATTTCATAACTTGTGTGAAGACTAGATTTATGTTTTATGTTGAGCCACTGTTTGTTGACTATCATGGATTGTTCACATATCACCTCACTGGGAGAGATGGATAGGAGCTTGTTTGGCATTTCTGATGCTAGCTATCAGTCATAAGGGCTGGATCCAAAGCATGTGGTCCTTCTAAGCAAGTAGATTGTTTCCTATACTGGTTAATCAGATGGATCTGGGAAAGTCCACAATCAGGGCATGAGGATCACATTCTCTTTCATTTAGTAACTGAAAAATAGAGGCAGTCTGCCTCTAAATTTGGAAGTGCCGTTTAATCAAGATTATGAGCAGCAATAGATAAACCTCTTGTGCATGTATCTAAATTTCGCATAAATTCTGCTCAGCTAGTGAGCTTTGCCGTATCTTAACAATTTTCCATAAATTAGATGTTGTAGGTGTTGCCTTTGCAGCATTTTAGAAATACTTTGTGAGTGGAATCAGCTACCCAGAGAACTAGTGGGCTCCTTTTCAATGGATGTGCTCATGTGGAGACCAGACAGTCATTGGTTTGGAATGCCATACATTGAATTCTGGAATGGGGCACGGTCTGGCCTCTTCTGGTTTTATAATTCTGTGAAAAAAAGGCATTGCTTGTTTCCTTCACATCAGCATGCAGTGAACAACTTTTCATTAATTTGTTCTTAAGCCTTTCAGTTGAGGAGCAACCTCCTTCTTGATTGATCTAACAAGACTTTGAAATGGTACCAGGCAGGTTTGACCACATTTTGCACTTCTAATCCCTTGATCTGAGTTCTTGTTGATAGATAACTGCTTGTAACAAAAAGCCACCACAGTAACTGCTTGTCTTCTTTTTCTAGGTATGACAGCAAGTGCAGTAGCAGCGCTGGTCCTCATGATGTCCTCCATAGTGTCAGTAATAGGATCTTTGTACCTATCTTATATTCTGTACTTTGTGCTGAAGGAATTCTGCGTTGTCTGTGTCATCACATACTTGCTGAACTTCATTCTCTTGATCATCAACTACAAACGACTAGTATACTTGAACGAGGCCTGGAAACGGCAGCTCCCACCAAAACAGGATTAACTGCTTTGCAAACTTTTGACTGACAATTTGAAGGCCCGGCTTCCGTTTATGTTTATTTCACAGTAAAAAGATTTTTTTTAATTATTATTCATATCACTTGCTTTTCCCAGGAATCATAGCTAATTCAATTAGAGTGACTCAAAGGATAGGGGCCCTGGGTAACCTCTCAGTCAATAGCTATGGTGAGGAACTGTTTGTGAAAGTCTTAATCTGATCAGAGACAAGCTTTAACTCTACTTTGAAGGAGTTCACAGAGACATATTCTTTACTCCTTCTTTACCCTTCCCCAAATATTCCAGGTAGGCTATAGGAAGTCTCCCATCTCAGTGTGAATTGAGGTGGGGGAAGTCTTAACTGGGAGATCATGATTGTTCTAGACTTTATAGGTACCATAGGGAAATGTTGCCCTGTTTACATTAAGTGTATTGGTAGCCAAGGGAATTTGACCCACATAGATGCAACTAAAACACTTACCACAACTTGGTGCATAGTGGTAGAAAAGACTGGCTATGTCCTGGCAAAGAAAGGAGGTCAGTACAGCTCGGCCAAGTGATGACTCGAAGCCTAGCAACTTTGAAGAATGGTCCATTGTCTTACTGAGATGTGTTTTTTTAAATAAAATTGAGATTAGTTTGTTTCCCTGGAGAAGATGTGCCACAAAAGATCTTTGCTGAGATGCCTTTTTCCCCAGGATATCTTTAAAGAAAATGGAATTCAATGGCATTTTTTTTAAAAAAAAAACTGAACTAAGCTGGGTTTCCTTGCAACATCCAAGCTGTTTGCTATGGATGGAAACAATCTTTGGGGATGCTTAACAAAGGGAATGGGGCATCTTGAGTTGCCCAGACCTCATCAGTAGGAAGCCTGTACAAATAGAGTTTGAGGGGCAGAATTGGCTGTGCACTTCAGAAGATGTGAGACAGCCAAATAGTGTTAACAAATTTGATTATAATATTTCTAGCTGCTGTATAGAATTACAACTTGACACTGGATCCCAGTAACCCACTGGTAAATGTATGCACTGAAGAATTAGGATGCAATCCCTTTGTGAGCTCTTTTGTACATAAGTTCCATAGAAGTGAAGAGGGAGTGTATAAAGAAATATCAATGGACGGTGCTTTGATGCTTTTGAGAAATTCCCCTTCATTTAGTGAAGCTTGTATAGGAAACCCAGATTACGGACATAAATAGATTTATATCTGTAGAGGCAGAGCAGTTTCAAATTCCTACATACAAATTTGGCTAAGGCTTAGGGAGACGTACATTGACTCTCCCTCAGTTAGGGTAAAGCAAATAGATGGTAAAAATTGGCCCAAGATTCAGTCATGGTTCTCCTTGAAAGAGTAAGTTCTAATAATTTCCCATTCATATCGTCCTAAAAATGCAGTATTTTTTTTACAAGTGCCTTCTGTCTTACAAACCAAATACTGGGGGCGTTTGAAATTGCCAGGCAGAAGGGTTCTTGCATATATATATTTGATGAACCAGACCTTTGCAGTATGTAGAAAGTGATCCCCTGGGCTTCTCTTATACCAAGGCACACTGGCATCATAAACACTCCCTTGTAGGACATACCTGGAGGTTGAGGGTATTTTTTGAGAGGCAGGCTGCTGACCTGATTGGGACAGCTTTGAGCTCTGCAGTCCTTGCTGGCTTCTGCTTTTCCTGCTGGAATACTTCAGAAAGACAAGCTTTTTCTCACAACATAAAAGTTTGTCTGCTATGTTTAGATTTAGGGCTTAGTTTACCCAGGAGCCTCTAAGTATGCCTCGGTATGACAAGGAAGCCTTGGAGGATTTGGCAGTTTCTTATTTGACAGCTGGGTCAAAGCTGTTCCAAGCAAACCAGAAGAGCTACTCCTTAGCAAGGTTGCCGTGTTTCTTCCTGCAGTGGCAGAACAAGGAACCTGTTGTATCGGCCTGGTTACCATTGGAGTGCAAGAAGGTACTAGAAGCTTCCGGAGAATGAGCGAGTTACAGGATTGATAGGATCGAAAGGAGTTCTCAGTGACTGAAGCAAATGGATGCTGCGATCTCCCAGAGGCTTCTTGTGATGCGCATTCACCAGTTGGGCTCCCTGAGATAATTAAGACAGTTCTTCTGCTCACACGATGAACAAATTTGGAGGACTTGTATTAAGGGTAGAAAACAATTTTGGCATCTTTTATAGCAGCGATAGCTGTGCACCTGGGTCATAACGGGCTAATTAAAAAGATCGGGTCAGGCCAGAATATATCCAGAATACAACAAAAGGCGTTGTTGTCAAAAACTTGAATCTTGCTTGTAAGAAATCTTTCCTTGCCATCGATGCTTGCTCCTGCTTATGCCCAAGAAAAGTGATCTTCCCCAAAAGCTCCCTTTTAAAAATCCAGTCTGCGCCTAAATCCTTTCCTTCTTCTGAGTCTGTAAGGGGTCTTCTTTTTTTTTGTGTCATTTTCTAAAAAAAAAATCAGCATTAAGGTATTAATGCAACTCTCTTATGTTTTGTAAAAGTGCAGGATTTTATTTTCCAATGGAAACAGCATCTGCTGAGGATGGGATGTCTGACAGTATTTAAATGCCTGCCAAATGAACAGTCCAGTTGGTTTATGTACAGAACTATGGTGGAACACAAGACTAATGGAGGAAGACAGGTGTTTATGGTATATATATATATGTGTGTGTATGTATATATGTATTAAAAACACTAAATTCTGCTTGTTGTCCTTATCAAAGAGTTTCTCAGAAATGCATTTTGTATTAACCAGAGTACAGTTAAAGCTTGTCTTGAATTTTGAAATTAGAGCTGATGGGGGAATATAATTTACAAATTTTGTTACATTTGGTATGTGGAGAATATTTTCAAGTTTATACCCTCACTGATAAATTTTATTTTAAGACATTAATGTAACATAATGTGAGGCTTTATTTTTTTACCTGTCTGCAGATGAGATGGGATTTTTCTATCTTTCTAAGTAGAGATTTCCATTATCTATACTGTGATGGGCAACTATGGCAACTTTACAAACTCTGGACTTCAACTCCCAGAATTCCTGAGCTAGGTATGCTGGCTCTGGAATTCTAGGAATTGAAGTCCACAGCTCATAAAGTTGCATAGTTGCCTACCCCTGATCTATACACGAGTGTCAATTATAGGGGATACAAAAAAGGTATAGTTTTCTTCCTAAGACTTCCTCCTCCTACACCCCCCCCCCCAAAATTCCTTGGGCAGGAAGTGCAAGCAGATTCCATTTTTCCCTCTGCTGAAAAGTTGCCTGTTCTGCTCATTTCTCTTTCTAAATCAACACCTTTTAAACATTGGCTCTATTTTTTTCTTGTTCAAGAACAGAGGTGTGAAGGTATCAGTCACCTTGTGTACTTCTAAGCAAAATCCTGACTTCTGTACCCCTCTCCCCCATATCTCCAATTTCAGTAGTATTCTGTGGTGTTAAACGGCCTAAGCAGCCCTTGTTTGTGTTGGATGAGTCGTTCTCAACTTGGTCCCCTACAGACATGTTGGGACCCCAACTCCCAGAATTCCTAGGGCAGCTGCAACACTTTGCGCTAAAGGCCAGACTAGACAAGTAGAGACTACAGGGCACCCTTCTCTGTCCAAATGGAAAAATGAGTGCTGGGTTCCGAGAACCAAACCAATATTTCTAACACAGGGGAGGCCTACCCTGCTTGTACGTTGTAATATTTGCAAGCCTCCAGCAAGCAGGTGGTGGGCAAATCTCCCTGCAGGTGTGGACTCTCTGCTGCCTTCCAACTTCTTCCACAAAGGTAATTCTCTTTAAAGTGGCAATATGACTAGGTTGCTTGGCCATACTGCCAAACCTACATGGATGATGGAAGATGCAGCATTTTCCTGTTTTTCGCAAGTGCAGCTTTCATTGTGCTTTGTTCCCAATTCCTTTCTTTTAATTTGGAAAGCCTAGGAGCCCCTGCTCTTTGGTTCTGTCTCATCATCTAAGTTACTTCTAATTTTATGCCAGTGAGGATGGAGGGAAACTTTTTCAGTGACAAAAGTTCAGGATTTTTTTTTTAACTAACAAGTGTCCCAGGAGGTAGTTTTCTTGAAGATCAATTTAATTCTCCCTACCACCTACCCCCCAGATCTACCACATCTCTCCCACTTGTTGATGGCTTAGAAGAAAGAAAAGGCCCTGACATCTTTTTCCAAGAAATCAAGGGTTCCATAGGTCAGACAAGCCCCTTTTCATTTCTTAGAAATCTTACTCAGCCTTCGTACCTGGGAGTAAGTATGGTTCTCAGTGCTTGTAATGCAGTTTTGAATGGATGACAGCTTTCTTGAGATACCAGAAAATGTATCCATGAAGCAGATGGCTCCATTGCATCTAGTATATTGCCATCCCCAGGAAAGGTTTCTGTCACTTGATTTTCAGGAGGAATCAAGGAGAAGTAGCAAGAGAAATCTATACCCTTGGAAGAGGAATATTTCTACTAAGGCAACTCTTTAAGGAAAATGTCAGAGTGGGCTCTAATCCAGTAAGAGATGAAACTTTCAGAAAATAATTACTTTGGGGCTCAATTCGATTTTCTGATTCAAAACAAAAAAAAAGACAAAAATGATTTTCTTTTTGCAGATTAATATCTCCTGATCTGTATGAAGAAGAATTGGTCAAAACAGATTAAACATTTGCTTGGATTCTTTCAAGACCGATTAAACATGACCTAGTAAAACTAGTAAAAAAGAAGATGAAGTATTCCGTTTCCATTTTTTAAAAAAATGTATTAAGCATGGCCTAAATATTCAATGTGTGTTCTGTCTCGTATGTTTGATCTGACAACTTTTTGATGTGCTTCAAACTTCAGAACATCTCCATCTCGATTGGAGTCATTCCATACTTATTTTTTTTTATTTTTTGGTTCAACATAGGACTGTGACATTCTGAGATTGAAATTCAATTTTGCTAACGGGGGAATTAAAACCATGTAAATATTGTAAGAATGTTTATTTGTTGCACATAACTTTTTTGGTATAAAAATAAACGTAGAAATTATCTGTGGATGTGTTTGCAGATTGTTTTGCAATCTCCTCTGCTGATTTGTCTCCAACCCTCACTGAAATCATAAATTCTTTGGTCTGTAGTTACCAAACACTAGCCATTTCTGGACTTTACTTTTTAAATAGAGTATTCATGTTAAAAGTGCCATTTTTAAACCAAAAACGCATAGGGTTGCAGTGGCTGAATTCAAGCATTGTGTTAAGCCATGTTTTAAGGACTATTCCTTAAAGGAATTGGCTGGATTCATAAATGTTAAGGCATAAACCATTGGTCATTAATTGTAGTGACTAGGTTCACACAACATGATGTGATTTGTGACTTAGTATTTTGTGGCAAATGTACGCAATTGTGGTATATTCATTAAATGATGGAAAACTATCACATGAGACCCCAATTTAATATTGGGTTCATAGTGGGCTGTAAGCCATAGTTATGGGTGTTTTGGTTTGGCTTTGTGTGTTATGGCAACCCAAACACTGCATTTAAACCATGGGTAATATGTGTGTGGAGTGATGCTTTTTTGTACCTCCTAAACATCTATAATGATCTGTCAGATGGATAATATGCTGTTGACAGGAACTGCCATGTTGACTTTTTTGATACACACACGGGGGGGTCTTACATTTTTATGGGTTCGTCAATCAAACCTGCCCTCTAGGAATGCCCTTCCAGCTAAGGGCATTACATTACACTGAGTCAACTCTTAATTGTGGGAATGCCTTTCATATTTATTAATTTACTTGTTGCAATAGAATCTTTCTGCTTGGGATAGGCAGATGTTGATATTTGATGACGTTAGAGGTATTGTTGCCAGATGTAAGTTGCCTTTTGCAATTGACTGATGATGAATTTGTCAATGTGGATAGTATTCAAGTGGTGCTCCAGTTGTTTTGGGATTCCACCCAAGGTGCCTATTACGAGGGAAATTCAGAAATAAACCTCCGTTTGGTTATCAATGATAGACACTCACAGACACAGAACTTTTATTATACACATTAGAAAACTGCAACATCACATTACTTTTTGACATAATCGCCATTCAAATTGAGGCACTTGTCATAACGTCTTACAAGGTTTTAAATTCCTTAGTAGTCGCTCGGTGCCAAATTTGGGCTATGGGGGTGTGTGTGAGATCAAAAATATCCCAATGAAACTGCTTCAAAAGTTCTTGGGTGCATCTAGCAGTGTGCGGGCAAACATTGTGAACCAACACCACACTGGAAGTCAGCATGCCTCGACGCTTGTTATGGATGGTTCATCTGAGTTTTCGTAATGTTTCACAGTAGACTTCTGAATTGATGGTTGAACAACGCTCCATGAACTTCACTAGCAGTACTCCTTTGGCATCTTCACATTTGGTGGGATTTTCTATGGCACCACTTCCGGTGTGGTGTTGGTTCACGATAATGCTCACCTACACACTGCTAGACACACCCAAGAACTTTTGAAGCAATTCCATTGGGATGTTTTTGATCAACCCCCCATAGCCCAGATTTGGCACCGAGCGACTACTAAGGAATTTCAAACCTTGTAAGACATTATGACAAGTGCCTCAATTTGAATGGCGACTATATCGAAAAGTAATGTAATGTAGTTTTCTAATGTATATAATAAAAGTTCTGTATCAGTGAGTGTCTGTCATTGATAAATGGAGGCTTATTTCCGAATTGTCCTCATACTATTGGTACTACGTGTGCTTTCTTTTGCCACAGTTGTTCTATTTCTATTTGTAGGTCTTGGTATTTTGTTATCTTTACCAATTCTTTCTCTTCTCTTCTGCTGTCTCCAGGTACTGCCATATCCACTATCCAGACTTTTTTTTGTCATATCAACAATTGTTAAGACTGGGTTGTTATGTGGCAGTTACCTGTCAGTTTGAATTCTAAAGTTTCAGAGCACTTTAGCTTCTTCATTTCTTATGAGTTTATTTTATGGTTCCAACATAAAATAAAGTTTGTTTATGGGCAAATTAGTATTATTATTTATTTATTTGCTGCCCATATTACAGTTCAACTCTTTAGTAGCTTGAGTCCATCAATCAGTTCTACTCTCCAGAACATCTTTGCAAAGATGTCCTATGTTTATGGTATTTTTCATGCACTTACACAATCCATGCTATCAGGCATACCGTAGCTATACCACATTATGTAAGCTACTCCTGTTTGTATTATTTGAGTTTCATGTGTGCCTGAGGCTTAAATAGCAGACCACTTTACTGTTTCTTTACCTAAACAATAGTGAATGATGTCAAAAAAAAAAAGATATTGTTTCTTCTACTTAAAACTCATCAAATAGTCATAAATTGAGCATCTACGTTTTGGTAAATGATTACCAAGTTTATCAAGTAAGAACAAAGCCAGATATCCTTGTATTAAGAAGAGGAAAGAGAAAAAAGGGATTGGGGCAGGAGGAAAGTTACTTAAGATCCTTCTGATATATTAAAGTTATAAGCTAATGTTAAAATCCATTGCATAGTTTCTTTGTACTTTATTGATCTTTCAGAGGCAGACTGAGGTGGAGAAGGTATTCTGGGAAAAGTGGGAACCAACAGGATGACCCAATCAGGAAAATGAAAAGCAGAGTCATCTTCCTCTCCATTCTGTAGCTATCTCCTCTTTTTCACATTTATCAACTAATGTCACCTCAACTTCTTTTTCATCCCATATCTCCAGATATGATGGCCTTGTCCTGTTATTCAAATTCCTCTTCCTGTGTAAATGTAGCTTAGTTTCATCAACCTGTGGTTTGTGATTAGTGCAGCAGCATCTCTGTGTGTAGGGTCAAAGCAGGCAAGCTGGTGGACAAAGCAGCACAATTGATGCCCTGTCCCTTTCTATGTTTTTGCAACATCAATGCATGAAATTAAGGGCCAAGGTTTGGACTGTGAACTGCCAACCCATCTTGTCCATTTTTATTTCCTTCTACAGAAGCTAACTGGGTTCAGTGTCTTAGCCGCAAAATCTGAAATTTAGTATTCCAAATTTACGTTGCGTTTGTCCTCTGCTAAAGAATTAGGAGTCTTTATGTAGACTTAGAGCAAAGTCAGTGAACATCCAATATGAAACTACTAATTTTAAAAGCTTTATTTTAGCAATATAAGGACCTCACTTTCATTCTCAGTCACACAAGCCACATGTACCAAGAAGTATTTCTTGCTGTAGACCAAGTGACAAAAGGAACAGAGATGTTCAGAGAGAGTTCTCTGAGATGATCTTCAATGGAGCGGAAGATGGAAGTTCAGACTTCTTCTGCTCTCTTTTTATAGGCAATGTAAGCTTGGATTCAGCACTGTAGCTTGGACTGTATCTATGATTCTTCATCAATCTGCAGAGACCTTTCATCTTTGGGGGGGGGGTCATTAGGCCGTTCCTGTTGTGCCCTTACCATGACCACTGAGTAAGCTCATGGGCTACAAGAAACTTGCTGGAATGCTGGATTCAAGAATTCCTTATCCCTTCACATCCTAGTGTCCCTTGGAATCTCTCGGAATGTCTTATGTTTAGGCATGTAGAATCAGATATCACTTTCAACAAGTGAAACACTACTCTTTAATGTCAGTCCATTAATGTATTTTATAATAAGGGATGGATTTCTTATGCTTTCAGATAAAATAAGAGTTTATGCTTGTACCATGGCTTCTTTGGAATAGCAGAGCTATTTGGAATAACCTAGGTCATAAGGAATGAAAATGAATGAAATAATAGTGCTGGATGCCAGATGTACAAAGCTATCATTATGCAGGGCAGGGGGATACAGTGCTGATTGTAGAGTTTGGCTCAAAAGTAGGGTAACTGGAAGGGTGAGCTCCAGCCATTAAGATAAAAATGTTGGGATGAACAATGAGGTTTCTGCCTCTGCTAATCTCCCAAATCTTGTTCCCCTATTAGCCTATTAGGTGGAATTTTACATAGGTGCAATTCCTGAGTAGGTTTGCAAATACTAATTTGTGTCTTGATTACATGCTTTCAAAATCATTTAAATGTGTTATTTTGAAACTTCTGTTTCATGTGGCTGAGTACTCATTTTTGTGAGGAACAGGGAAAATGCCATTATGGAAGAAAACTCTTTGAAATGTTTCTGATCTGAAGGCAATCAACCTCTCCCAAATACACAGTATGGTTAAAACAGTATTAATCTATTTTGTAAAGCAGTAGAAATACTGACATGTGTGATTAAAACCAGAATATGAACATAAACATTTGTGGCCAAGTCCTTGCGTCCTCATTTTTCTCCATCACACAATGATCTCCCTATGAGATAGGGCCATTATATTTCAAACTATATAGAGCCACCCATTCCTTGAGCAGGAATTCATTGAGAAGAGCATTCATGACCACAACATAGTACAAAAGAAATCCTTCTATCATGGCTTAATCTCTATAGGCAGTCCTCTACTCACCCCCTGCCTTGGATTCAAACTTCTGACATCTGGGCCCCCTGGTCATATGATCACATTGGGTACTTGACAACCAGCCATTTGCAGTGTCCCGTGGTCACAAGACCATAATTTACATTTCCCCCCCTAGAAACCAGGGTTTTCTTCCAGTTTGTGGCAAAAAAAGTCCCATAGTGAACAGTGGGTTTGCTTAATAACCATGGTATTTGCTTAACAACTGCCACAAAAAAGGTCATAAAATCAGAAATGGTCACATGGCGACGCACTTAACGACTATTATGACTTACAACTATAATTGTGGACTCAATTGCAGTTGTAAGTTGAAGACTACGGTCAACCTAAGCCAACCTTTTGCCAATGATGTCCCCTCCAGATAAGTGACATAAAGCCATGCCAACCGTGGTGTCTACCTTGATGATTTCTTCACTCTATTTCAAAATCACCTTCCTGTTCTTAGTTTCTAGATTAGTATCTTATCTAGCCATCCCATTGCTCAGCCCCCTGCTTTCCATCTTTCTTGCAAACTACTGGGATGCCTCTGGGCATGTTTATGTTTATGGGTGAATGACAGTGTGCCTTAAAAGGCAGCGCGGAAGTGTCATTATCTTGAGCAAGGTTTTTCTCAGGCGTTCTCCCTCCTCAAAAGTGCACTTGATAAACCTGCATACCCTAAATTTAGTTGCACATACAAAACAGAATTCATAAAATGTATTCAAGAAGGGATCAAAAGATTGTAAAACACTTTAATCAGGCTAAGAAACGTTTTGACCCTTAGAAATGTGCAAGTGTTTTTCAAAATCGGAGAAACATGTCTACACAGTATCTTTTTCTCTGACTCCTTTTAAGAATAGAATAAACAGTATTGCCAAATTTTGTCACCAGTCCTGCTGGTGGCTTCGTTGATTAGATTTCATGATCTAAGTACATTTGTTCTTTGACATCCAGTCATAGAAAAGTTACCTGTATTTGAATGTTCTTTCCATAGAGCATCTGCAACATGAACTTCTTGTAATACCTTAAATGAGAGTTGAGCAAACGTGGAGAAGTGTGCTTAGGGCAAGCAGGCACTGCACGCGGCTGGTGGCGTCAGAGATTTGGATTCATTGGCAAGCGTCCAGTATCTATCTTTCAAAAGGAAGGCAGCAGCTTTTGGCTGCCTTTGGCGAGTGAAAATCCCTTTCTTGTTACCCATGACGCGTGTCACCCCTGCAGATGGGAAAGGACACAAAAAAGCAAATGGGTGTATTTGAAATAGATGACAAATCATGCTTAGCTACAAACCAGAATCAACATATCAGACTGCCCAGTCATACTTTCTTAGTCCAGTTCCTGGTTTCTTTCCCTCACCATTGGCTGCTCTTAAGGACTTGGTGAGGTACACAAACTAGGATTAAGCCAGAGAAAGTGGAAACTGGGCATCCCCATGTCCAACTTGATTCAAACCCAGGCTTATAATTAATCATGATTAAAAGATACACCCCATAAATATGCCTCAAATGCCATTGCAAACAAATCCTGCTGTATTTTAATTATGTTCAGTTCTCTGAGAAACATGCATTACTAGATCCCTGTTTGCCTGCTCAAGCACCAATATGACACTATTGTTTTAAATGTTTGATTTTTTAAAAAAATCAAAACCTAGTGGTCTTGGGAGGCTAATACTTTCCATAGACCCTTTTTGAAGAAGTGTTGGGATGGGGGGAAAGGGAACAAAATAGGAACAGTAGAGTCCCAGCTTGTTTTCTTTTGCAGAAATGGGGCTTAATGATAAGCTAGCTCTGAGTTCAAACCATAGACTATGCTTAAGGAAAGCTAACTTGCAAATCTTGATTATCGTTTGTCATTGCATTTCTCCCATTTAACTTGAATCCTGAGTTTCTATGACATTGTAATCTGACTTATCGTGTTGTGCAAACATGTAATGGTTGGGTTCGTACAACACAGTGCACTAGAATAGAATAAAATGGGGTTCAGTATTTTGCAGTTGAGTGCAATATGTGCTGAAGTATACTTAGCACGTTGCCTTAAGCCATAATATGATAGGGCAGTAAAGCACAGTTTGAAACCATGGCTTGATATTGGCTTATTGAATGCAGCTTTGGCTTGGAGGCTGGGCTTACAAAATATATTGTTGTCCTCACATAAGATACTCTGCCCCATGAAAAAAATAGTGAGCTATGCCACTTTAAAAATCTCTGATTTACTGCTATAAAATTAATGGATAGTTCTATACTGTATTGACCTTGTCTGCCTATCACACTCAATCAAAAACAAACTACAATGTGGCCCAGTGTGATGCATGTACCTAACCAGGACCAAGCAATGTTGTAGTGTAGCATTGCAAGCTCCATTGCAAACAATAATTACACCTCATATTCATACATTTAGGAAGCAGCACAAAATATTTCATGTCTGTTGAGTAGCAACTGGATTGGGGGCTTTTAAGCCTCCAAGTTAGAAGCTTACTCTATATAACAGAATTGTTAAAATCTTGCCAATGACACTATCAACAAGGTATTGTGGAAATATCTTTACAAGTGGTTGAGATTAATTAGCTTTTCCTGTTTTGTCACTGAAATGTTTATGTAAATATTTATGTTCCAGCCCAAACATTCATTTTAATAAAACCAGCCCTAAACATTTGGCAGGACAATGTGGCAGCTTTATCTAATAAGCCCTTACCTTGTTCTGTCATAAAATCGGCAAAATTCCAGATGAGTTCTCCAATCACATATTCCTCCCTCTTTTGGTCTAAGACAGTATGATATTCCTTGAGCACAGCTGTCTGATATTCCTCAGAGAACATGAGAGGGGGATCCTACAGACACCAGAAAAGCGGGGAGGGGTGGGCATGAGTCTAATAAAATAACAACATATATCCTCAAGAAGTACTCTTGAAGTAAATGGCAACAGAGCACCATCCAGCCCCCAGAGTAATCTTATATGAGGATTCAGAAAAATCATTTAATTAGTACAACATGCTTAACCTGATACCTGCATTTTTCCATTTTCTGCATTTGAACAATATAATGGATTCTAAACTAATTCAAGGACTGGATGTGTACAACACCCTAAATTACAAATACAGTAACCAAGTTTAGAATGTTGTTGCAAATGCAGTTGCTGTGTCTTTAGTTATGACCTGGTGAAAGTAGTGTGTGAACATATCCAGGGAGATCATTTACCTCTGCCCCTTGCTTAGTGCAAGATCTGTGCTGCAAAATACAGATAAAATGATGGTCCAGTCTTTGTTAAAATAGCCCCTGCAACAGAAAGCATCTCCTCATAAGTTTGTTTCACATAAAACCTCTTATTGGTACTATATTTCTCCTATGATTAATCCAAACATGTATGTATATATGTATATGTATATGAGGGCAATTCGGAAATAAATCTCTGTTTAGTTATCAATGACAGACACTCGCAGATACAGAACTTTTATTATACATATTAGAAAACTACAATGTTACATTACTTTTTGACATAGTCGCCATTCAAATTGAGGCACTTGTCATAATGTCTTACAAGGTTTGAAATTCCTTAGTAGTAGTCGCTCGGTACCAAATCTGGGCTAGGGGGGGGTGATCAAAAACATCTCAACGGAACTGCTTCAAAAGTTCTTGGGTGCGTGTAGCGGTGTGCGGGTGAGCATTATCATGAACCAACATCACATCGGAAGTAAGCATGCCCTGATGCTTGTTATGGATGGCTTGTCTGAGTTTTCATAATGTTTCATTATGAATTGATGGTCAAACCACGTTCCATGAACTTCACTAGCAGTACTCCTTTGGTATCTTCACATTTGGTGGGATTTTCTATGGCACCACTTCTGGTGTGGTGTTGGTTCACGATATTGCTCACCTGCACACCGCTAGACGTACCCAAGAACTTTGATCACCCTCCCCATAGCCCAGATTTGGCACTGAGTGACGACTACTAAGGAATTTCAAACTTTGTAAGACATTATGACAAGTCCCTCAATTTGAATGGTGATTATGTTGAAAAGTAATGTAATGTTGTAGTTTTCTAACGTGTATAATAAAAGTTCTATTATCTGTGAGTGTCTGTCATTGATAACCAAATGGAGGATTATTTCCGAATTGCCCTCATAGTATATGTATATAGACCCAGTTCCATTTGGAAAAGCCCTGGAAGAAACAGGAATTAATGCCCTTAGTATAGAAAAAGTCCTGTCTACATCTTCTCCCTGCAGACTAATTTATACTGCTGCAATTGCCACTCAGAATAAAAAAACTCACAGCATGAAAGCCACTGATGGTGTCTGCTCCATATTCACTCTGAATGATGGGCTTTTGATAGGTAGAGTACCAATGCTCAAATTGTGTCTTCAGCTGCAGCTGGATCACTTCCAGATGTCCTGCATCGTGGTACCAGGAGAAGTAGCTATTCACACAGATGACATCCACATAAGGTGCCTACAGGAATCTGAGATTAGTTCAGACACCGACGGAGATCCAGGAGAATACGAAACTCCTCCTTATATGAAACAGCTGGACCTATTCTCTTGGAATATTTATTTGGTTAAAATGAAAGTTGGTAACCCAGGTGGCCAAAATGCTCAAATTTTCTGCTTCAGATTATACTCTGAATCACAAAATTGTGGAAATGGAAGGGATCACAAGGATCATCTAGTCCCGTGGTGGCGAACCTATGGCACCTCTCTTTGGGCACACGTGCCATCGCCCCAGTCCTAGGTCTTCAGCTGGGTAGGCCTCCGCCGCCGTGTGCAAAAAAAAAAAAGGTTCAATCAATTAATTTCAACTCCTCGCGGGGAAAAAAAAGATCTCGCAAAATTGGAATTGATTGATTGAACTTTTTAGTCCCACCCAGTCTGCTGTTACCATTGCAGCCACCCCCACCCAATGGGCCACACCCAGCCAATGGGCCACGCCCACCTGGCACCCGACGATACATAAGTGGGTTTTGGGTTGCAGTTTGGGCACTCGGTCTCTAAAAGGTTTGCCATCACTGATCTAGTCTAACATGAAGGATTTTAAATCATCCTTGAGACGCGACTGTCTCATTCTTAAAACCTCCAGAAACAGAAAACCCACAGTCTCTCTAGGCAGACAATTCCACAGTTCTAACGCTGAAATCATTGCTATTTGGAAGCATTATGTCTTTCCCTTTGTAAGAGTAAGCACTAAATTAGAAATGCTATGGTAGATACTTGTACTTGTACTTTTATTTTGCTCAAAAAATCCTCTAGTCTCCACCATCCCCATATTGAGTCACATATTGGTTCACTATCCCAACCAGGGGCATCAATACTCTTGCACCACGTTCCCTTCAGGCTTCAGTGGCTGAATTAAAAGAAAATTAGTGCAGCCTTTTTAGCTATGAACAACTGGCCAACCTTGATTTTGATAGAGAAAAATGGACTGTGCACAGCATGCTCAAGCTGCTGTTACTGTAATCAGATCCAGAAAGTTTTGGATGAAATAAATTTTGCACATACGTTTTAATTGGAGTTTAGACTTGGTTTGGCACTGGCATCTGATGACAGAGCTTCCCACCTTTCTGAAGCCCAAAACATTCATGATGTGAGCCCAAAGGTAGGCAGTTTTAAAAGGAGGGGAAGCTCCCTTCCAAAGAAGAAAAAAAAATGGCAAATCCTATCAAATGGATTGTCAACTGCTATAGGATGATGAATGAATCTTAGAATAGATTAACAAATGTTAAGCATGACAGCCAGACTGTAGCATCTGATTCAGAAGCAGTCTACCTCACACCATTTATTATGCAAACAATTGATAAAGGACCTTGCTCTTTTGTCCTGCTTATGGGCTTCTCAGTTGTTTTGGGATGGCTGCTAAATGAAGCAAGATGCTGGACTTGATGGATCTTTGATCCAAAAGAAGACCAGGAGTTTCTGCATGGGGTTGAAAAAGTTAAGATGGCAGTCACAATTATACGATCAAAGGCCCACATATAAAAAATGGCAGGCTTTGATCATGGGGATGTGGCTGCCATCTTGACTTTTGGACCCTCCCCCCTCCCTCCCCCGCTAGACATACTTTAAAATTACTTGGAAGAAATATTTCAGACTTTGTATGAGCACAGCATTTCCCTGATATCCGTTAAAGCAGCCCAGCCCTCTTCAATATTCACACCAGTCTGAAAAACAGGATCCGTTGCTTCAGGAATCACCTTAAAGTGGATTCCTTCAAGCAGCCACATCAGCGTCTGACTTTTAAACTCTTTTTTGGTACGGATAATGAATGCTTCTATGCCCTAAAGCACCTAATTTGGAATTCCTTTTCAGTTATTCAACTGATCTCTCAACAACTGCAGGATCAAAGCTTCTGCTATTCCTCTTTGCAATGAGTGCTGAACAAGGTTGCAGGAAGGGCAGTCAGGAACACTCCCTGTTAAACTCAATCAGAGCCATGCAATACTTACCCCCTGATCTCGGAGGTAATTAGCATTTGAGACATATGTCACAGGCCGGGTGGGGTCCAAAGCTTTGGTGTGGGCTATCACTGTCCTGCAGGGCAAAGATAAAATTCAAAAGATCAGGCTTATTTCTTTCTGGTTTACATCAAGTACAGTTCATTGCAGCATTCTTTCCTCCACTAGCAACAGAGGATCCTTCCAAAGATAGCAATAGCACTAGCACTTAGACCAGCGGTTCTCAACCTATGGGTCGGGACCCCATTTGGGGTCGATCGACCATTTCACGGGGATCGCCAAGCAAGGCTGTCCGCCATTTTTTTTGTCCGCCATTTTTTTTGTCCGCCATTTTTTTCCCTTTTCTGGCGGGTGCCTTACCTCCCTTGGGCTGGGCCAGCTGGTGGTCGGCCTGCTCCGTCTCTGCCGCTTGCCAGCTACGCCTCGGCCGGCGCAGGGGGTGGAACCACACATGCGTGGCGCTCCCAGGCAGGGAAAGTCCTCGACTTACGACCGGTGGGGTAGTCCTCGACTTACGACCGGTTTAGTCCTCGACTTACGACAAGTTTAGTCCTCGACTTATGACCGGTTTAGTCCTCGACTTACAACCGGTAGGGGTCGCAGCATTAAAAAGGTTGAGAACCACTGACTTAGACTTATACAGTATACTGCTTCACAGTGCTTTACAGCCCTCTCTAAGCGATTTACAGAGTCAGCATATTGCCTCCAACAATCAGGGTCCTCATTTTACCGACCTTAGAAGGATGGAAGGCTGAGTCAACCTTGAGCTGGTTGAGAATCGAACTGCTGGCAGTCGGCAGAATTTACCTGCATACTGCATTCTGACTACCACCATGGCTCTTGATACATGTTGTCAGGTGACATATTGAAAACTTCTACCAGCTTTACATTCAGGATTAAAGGGAAGCATAGGTGGTCCTCCTGTAATTGGAAAGCCTTAGTAAGGCCACACCTGGAATACAGCATCCAGTTTTGGTCATCACATTACAAAAAAGATATTGAGACTTTGGAAAAAGTGCAGAGAAGAGCCACTAAGATGATTAAAGGCCTGGAGACAAAAACATATGAAGAACGGTTGCAGGAATTGGATATGGCCAGTCTAGAGGAAAGGACTAGGCCAGTCTAGAGAAAATACTAGAATGATAGCTGTATTCCAGTATTTGAGCGGTGCAACAAAGACGCGGGTCAACTTATTTTCTAAAGCACCAGAAGGCAAGACAAGAAACAATGGGTGGAAACTAATCAAGGAGAGAAGCAACCTGGAATTATGGGGAAACTTCCTAACTGTTATGACCCAGGTGGTCAATGCAAGGCAGGCCTCTAAAGAGTTCTTTATTTCTCTTAAAGTTCCAGCCAACAACCGGTAAGGCTCCATCCACACACTACCTTGAAGGCAGCCACCCTCAGTCCCCCAAACAACAGCTCCTATAATATCAAGTAAGTCCACAGAGTAGGAGCACGCTCACAGGGTGAGCTCCAGGGTTCCAAGTCCAATCCACCAGGCAGGGTCCAGGCAAAAGACCAGAGCAGTCCTCAGGACAAGAAACAGGTCTCAGAAAAGAAGCAGTTCCAAAGCCCCCAGTGAAGGAAAGGCCAAATGTAGCCACCAGAGAAGGGTGAGGTCCAAAACAAAATGCAAAGAGCAATCTTCCAAGCGAGGCAATATGAACAGCAACAGGCAGGAGTAAAAGCTGGGGGAATGTAAACCAAAGCAAACAATTGTTCCTAGCAAAGACTAACTCCCCACAACTTCTCCTTAAGTTACTTCCCTCCAGGTGTTCCTTGTGATGAAGGGTGGGGCAACGTCCTCCCAAGTAGCCTTGCAGCCCTTCTCTGGGCTTGCCTATGTGCCATTCTCCTTGCCTTTGGATCGAGTGGAGCAGGCAGCTGTTCCTCGTCAGAGGAGATTGGCTGCCTATCAGCACCACTGCTGGTCAGTAGCTGATCCTCCCTTGTGTCTGTGAAGGGAGGCAGCTCTCCGTCTGGTCAACCACGTCCCCCAATGCCTGAGGGGCCCAGGACAGCATCATCCTCAGCCCCTGCCATGCCTTCCCTGTCAGATGGTCCCAGCTCCAACTCTGCCTCCTCCTCCGAAACAGCCTCTGAGGGGCCCATGACACTAACGGTGAGGACAATTAACCAGTGGAACAACTTGCCATCAGAACTTGTGGGTGCTTCATCACAGGAGGTTTTTAAAAAGAGACTGGACAGTCACTTGTCTGAAATGGTATAGGGTCTCCTGCTTGAGCAGGGGGTTGGACTAGAAGACCTCCAAGGTCCCTTCCAGCTCTATTCTGATTGATTAATGGAGCCTGCCCATTATGGTTGTAAGTTGTCATGGTCATAAAGCGGGTCACCCATGTGACCTGTCTGATTTTACCACTTTTTTTGCAACAGTCATTAAACAAACTAATTGTTCACTATGGTCTGGTTTTTCCCAAAACCAAAAGTAAATGTCAGTTTTCAGCAAAAATGTCGGAAAACGCAGTTATGTTACTGTAGGATGCCGCAAACAGCTGCAAATGCGAGTCAGTTGACAAGCACCCACATGCAGTCACATGACCACGGAGAGGAGCTGGTCATTAGAACTTTGGAACCAGGTTGTAAGTATCCCTGGGGAGGTCCATAGTAACTTGGTGACTGGTCATAAGTCAAGAACTGCCTGTACTTTCCCCATTTGTCATCTGTGCCTTTTTTGACTGCCCAAAGCTAACAAAGAACTGAATCGTAAATTCTCATCCTTATAAGAATCTGGTAGCTAGAGATAACAACACCACAAAGGCAACATCAGGTAGGAAGAAAGTTCCAGCTTTGATCTGGGACATCTCTCATTAAATAAGGAATCAGAACCAAGAAATCAAAATCAAAAGATTTTTAGACTGTTAAATTGGAGGTGGGCAATTTTCCTTTAATCTGGAGCCACAAATCATATTATTTTAAAGAAAAACGATCCATACAGATTTCATAGGGAGAGGGGAGGGGAGGGGGAGATAGGATGTTACTGTTGTCTTATATTTTCAGTCTGTTTCTTCCTTGGATGGCTCAGACTTTATTTTATTTTGCTCAAAGTCTGTTTATAAGTCTATAATTATGTGTACATGTAGATGTAGATGTGTACATGTAGATCAGGTTCGCCTGATTTACCAGTTGCGGCCTTTTCTGGACCGGGATGCCTTACGCACAGTCACTCATGCTCTGGTCACCTCCCGCCTGGACTACTGTAACGCTCTCTACATGGGGCTTCCCTTGAGGAGCACCCGGAGGCTCCAGCTAGTCCAAAATGCGGCCGTGTGGGCGGTGTTGGGAGGGACTCGTCGCTCCCACGTAACACCGCTGCTGCGCGAGCTGCATTGGCTGCCGGTGGCCTTCCGGGTGCGCTTCAAGGTACTGACTATCATCTTTAAGGCGCTCCATGGCAGCGGACCAGGATACCTTCGAGACCGCCTTCTGCCACAGATTACCTCCCATCGGCCAGTACGCTCCCACAGGNCTGGCCTAGGATAATTTTTAAGAGGGGTTTTTTAGAGGGTTTTTAATTACTTTTTAATTAGACAATTTAAATATTTCATTTTAATTAATTTTAACTTGTGATTGTTAGTGGTGTTTTTAATTGATTGTCAGCCGCCCTGAGTCCGCAAGGAGAAGGGCGGGATATAAATTCAAATAATAAATAAATAAATAAATAAATGTATAGTCTGGTTCACTAGAGCAATATAGATATTATATTTTGTACTTGTTTAAGATGATAACTATGAAAATAAAAACATTAGTAAGATTAAAATTATGATAAAAGATGAATTCTGTTCAGAAGCTTTAACTGGTGCAGGATGTGATGACACAGGTTTAGGGTGCCAGTTACTGAGTTCAACAAGCTGCATTGACTTCCAGTGGGCTTCTGGGTGCAATTCAAAGTTCTGGTTGACGCCTTTAAGTCCTTCATGACTTGGGACCAGGTTCCCTACAGACTGTCTTCCCCAATTGCCTCTCCAGCAGTCAATGAAGGCCAGAAGGAGAGCCTTTTCTGCTGTAGTGCCCACTCTTTGGATCTTCATCCCCCTCTGACTTGACCTTGTCCCTAGTGGCCTTCTGGTTGGCCTAGTCCCTGATGGTCTCCTGTAAGGCCTTGACAACTTGATTTTGTAACTGATTGCTGGGGAATTTTAAGAGTTCAATCCACACATCCTAAAATTGCCAAGGTTAAGAAAGGCTCTGTTTCCACAATGAAGATTACCCTACCTTACTGTAAGACACAAAAGAGCCCTCTGTGTAGGTGGCAGCCAAATGTAGGATTACAGCTATCGTCCCCTATTCCTATGAGTGCAAATTCTACTTTTTGTGTCCAGTTCGCAGACCTCACAGTGCATTCTCAGCTGCCTCCACAAGGCAAGAACTCACTTGAAGTAGTAAGCAGCCACAGGCAACTCTGAGGATGGCTCATTGGCCACTGACCACATTACAACTGAGGGTCGGTTTTTGTCCCGCCGGATCAGTTCTTCCATCACAACAAGATGGTGTTGCAGAGACTGGTTCCCAAAGTTCAGACTAAACAATGAAGCAAAGAAAAATAAATCAGTTCAGGAGGAGAAAATGGACTACCTGGGTAAGGCTTGGACTTGTTGTCATGAGGAACACTCCTTCTGAAATCAAACTTGGATTTAACAGCATTTCCTCTATAGGAAACAGAAGGAATTGTAATAAGAAGATGGACAAGCCAAGGAATTGTAAATCTGGTTTTCCCAAATAATTAATCCCATAGTCTAATTGAGAACTCCCAAAATCCCTATCAATTCAGGCTTATCAGAACTAGGAGAAAGTTGCAATATTTCAGCTTTTATAGAAATACTTTGTATTACAGAAATCCCTCTACTTTCTCTGGTGGTCCCCAGAATTCACTTCTTTCTTGAAACAAATACAAGATGCAAGCCAACTTAAGTCCTGATAGAAGAGCATAATTGTAGCTCAGGGTTGAACTGTGGGGTTCTTGGTGCTCTCTGAGCTTGGTGATTTTCTTGCAGACATTTCATGACCAAACTAGAGTATGCTATATGTAACACTGATGGTGTTACCTAGTTTGGTCATGAAATGTCTGCAAGAAAATCACTAAGCTCAGAGAGCACCAAGAACCCCACAGATCACAGTCCCAGCAGTTGAAACCCAATGTCTAAAACTCACAGTGAGACATCTGCACTCCTCTAGCTCTCATCGTTCTTGATCACCAGCCATACTGGACCACAAATTCCCCTTCCCTGGCAACTCTGTAGACAATTCTTAGATTTCTGCCTCCTATCCTTGGGAACCCTGGTATATGGTTGTCCCTGACCCTGCATCCATAGGTGTTTTCCCATTAGATTATCCAACCTGCTATGGGCCATTAATTTTTTTTAAAAAGTTATGTTTAGCTAGCTACAAAAAAATTGCCCATTTCTGTCTTAGTATATTATATGACAAAAGACATAAGACACGGGTAGAGTAACCATACCTCACCTGTCATGCATGCCCACTCCTGGGCTTTCATCAATCACAACAATGCCATAAGCATCACAAAGCTCCATGATCTCCTCAGCATACGGATAATGGCTGGTGCGAAAGGAATTGGCTCCTAGCCAGCGCAAAAGGTTGAAATCCTTCATGATCAAAGGCCAGTCTAGGCCTTTGCCACGGATCTGTAGCAGAACAAACATTTTGTTAGCAATGGCTTTGCTGTCCTCACGGTTACAGCTTAACATGGAAGAAATGAAATATGCACGATATATCTTTATATTCTAAAAATGAGAGCATATAATCTAGATTTAATAAGTAGTTTGACAATTCATATTATATTGATGGGTTTTTTTACTTTTGCTTAATTTCTTTTTTCTCTCTTTCAGTTTAATTTTTGTAATGGGTGATTATATTTTACTATACAATCACTGATTATCATTTTTATTATTTCGCTAATCTATGCTTTAAAATGAAATACAGACAAATAGGCCCACTTGCTGTTTCAAAAACTTGTTGGCATTTTAGCATTAACCTTAGTTAAGGCCCAGATAATGAAACGAGCAAAGACTTAACATGGTTTAATAGCTCCTCTTCTTTTGGAATAGCAAATGTTTATACAAGCTGACATTTTGTTTTTCAATAAACGTTTTGATTTTATTCTTTTAGAGATCAATGACAACAAAACAGCCCTTAGGGTTTTGTTTGAGGTCAGAGCCATAGTGGGTTCAGAGCACAGGGGAGTATTTGCAGAGTAAGTGGGAGTGAGAGAGAGATGGTAAAAAGCCAAGATGGCAATTGCAATCATGAAATCAAAGTTCCACTCCTGTTACATGTGCATCATATGCCAATGCATATAAAACACATCTGTGGCTTTAATTACAGTCACAGCTGCTGTTATTTTCACATGCCCATACCCTTGGGCTCCAACACTTGTTATCAAAACAAGACCCTACAAGGCACCATATTAGATGAGCAAAGAGCCGGCTGCAGGTGTGGGTCCATTTCACAGACACTTCTTGTTGTTCTGGAGCATAATGACTGCTTAACAATCAGAAGCCATTGTTCCAGATTCAGGCAACACACTGTAATATTCTTAAATTATATTTATCTACTATAAATCATGGTTGATGATCAGGAATAAAGCATTCTTTCTTATCTATAATCTGAAATTTGGATTTAAACAATACAAGTAGTCCTTAATTTATGACCACAATTGGGACCAGAATTTCCATTGCTAAGTGAGTTAAGTGAGTCGTGCTCAAATGTATGACTTTTTTGCCACAGTTGCTAAGCAAATCACTATGGTTGTTAAGTGAATCACACAGTCATTAAGCTAATCCGACTTCCCCCATTGACTTTGTCCGAAACTGGCTGGGAAGATCGCAAATGACGATCACATGACTTCAGGATGCTGCAATCTGTGAAAATATATGCCAGTTGCCAAGCTCCTGAATCATGTGACATGGGGAATGCTGCAACAGTAGTAAGTATGAGTACTAGCCGTAAGTCACTTTTTTCAGTGCCACTATAATTTTGAACAGTCGCTAAAGAATACTTGTAAATCGAAAACTACCTATATATTAAAACTAATAATAGCAGCATTATATGTCCATTTCTTAGCGAATTCTGGATTAATAATAATAATAATAATAATAATAATAATAATAATAATAATAATAATAATAATAATAATAATAATAATAATAATAATAATAATAATAAAGTTGGAAGGGACCTTGGAGGTCATCTAGTCCAACCCCCTGCTCAGGCAGGAAACCCTATACATTTCAGACAAATGGCTGTCCAGTTTCTTCTTAAAAACTTCCAGTGTTGGCGCATTCACCGCTTCTGGAGGCAGGTTGTTCCACTGGTTAATTGTTCTAACCGTCAGGAAGTTTCTCCTTAGTTCTAGGTTGCTTCTCTCTTTGGTTAGCTTCCACCCATTGCTCCTTGTCCTGCCTTCAGGTGCTTTGGAGAATAGCTTGATTCCCTCTTCTTTGTGGCAGCCCCTGAGATATTGGAACACTGCTATCATGTCCCCCCTCGTCCTTCTCTTTGTTAAACTAGACATACCCAATTCCAGCAACCGTTCCTTATATGTTTTAGCCTTTATTAAGATGGTGGCTTAATCTAGTCGCTGTGGCTTCTCTCTTTTGACCAGCTTTTGAGAAACAGACTGTGTATGGATGTAGCAAAATTGTAACTAGAGAAAGACTGGATTGTGCATGTGAAATTTAGCTTATCTAGAAAGATCCAGGCATGATTAAAACACTGTATGATTCTTTACGACATAGATTGAGAATATCTTTGTACACTGAGTGCTCTCCCAACTTTTTTTTATCACTTGTAATCTTGCAAAATCTCATGTGAGAACACCAAAATGGGAGACTTGGCAATCTTGTTTAACTGAGTGTTAGAAAGATCTAACTCTGTGGATCATAGCTGGTGGTGAGCCACACACTCAAGTTCATTTTATCATTAGATTGATCATCATTAACATTTCTTTTCTTATCTGCTTTGCCATTCAATCCAGGTTTTGTTTTAGGCAATTCAACAACAGTTCTTCCATCAGTTGGGTGTGAAGGGACTCACATCAGCATCTTCATGTTTGTTGACCCCGTGAAAATAGAATGGTTTCCCATTAATAAGAAACTGGTTGCGCGTAACAAAGATGGTTCGGATACCAACTGGTTGCACATAGGTGTCTTCAGAGATGGAGCCATCCACAACGGCAGTGAGTGTGATCTGTGTTTTGAAAAAAGCATTCTGGGTCAGTTTTCTGAGGTACAAGTAGATCTGCTGAGTACTGACACCCTCCATATAAATCACTAGCCCCAGTTAAAGTAATCCAAGATCACCCATAATTGTGCACCCTGTTTGAATTAATGTAAAATACTTTTGAGCTTGGACAAGGGGCAGGAAATTACCCTTGTTTTTCACTTTTCATTCAGCTACACCAGGGATGCTTAACTTTGGCAACTTTAAGACCTGTGTACATCAACACCCAGAACTTTTCCTGTAAGTATGGGAAGTTCAAATAGATATTTAGGGTATAATTCTTGTTTATAAGCAAGGGTATCTGCAGCATCTGGTCAAAAATGTGGCCATAATGACCACATCTGTTTTTCTATTGTGTTGCACATGAAAAGTGCATGGAGCTTTGATTGCACGATTGACAGCTTGATGTTTTGATGCATCCTGCAGACATCCCTGTTTATAAGCCTTTTGTGGAATCTATGTAGTGAACCATAACTTTATATTAGCCAATCATTCTTTTATTTACAGGAGCTGGAGTTCAAATCTCACCCAGAAAGCAGGCAGACTTAAGAATCCAGACATACAAGGTACCTTCAAGGAGTAGAGGTATGCAGGACGTTCGTTCATCAAGTAGGGCCACCAGAGAAGAGGATCCATCACTTTCAGTTCACCAGCTGACCCATTTCCTGTTGCTACAGCAACCTGATCACTGTCATACAAAGTCAGGGATAAAAAGTAGTTTGAACTTCCTCGTACAGACACCAAATAACGAACCAGGCCTGTGTCACAGAAGGAGAGAGAAAAGCTTGTATTTGAAAGAAAAAGTGGGGAATAGATGTAACTCCATATAATGGAGATCTCCCTCAAGAGCCCCCAACATAGTCCTGCTTTGCTTCCTCAGCTTCTTACCAACTTTTCCCTTCAAGGCTGTGGTTACTGTGATATCATCAATGTAGGCCAAGGGTGTGGTGTAGAGCAAGACCGGTCGGTGAATTCCAGCATAGTTGAAGAAATCAAATCTTGTGTTTTGAACAAAGTAGCCCTTCGGATACCTGGGTTGAGGGACAGAGAAAGGGAGATAAGATGTCTTGGAAGGGCGAATCTCTATGTTTGAATAAGAGATGGAAAGGTGCTTTAGGAATTAAGAATTACCCATGGAAAATGCCTGAGAATCAACTCGGAGGTCTCTCCTATATGGGGGCACCTACAGTGAGGGGCGGTCAAAAACATCAACACAGCAGCCCCAGCCACATGATCAACGCCAACTCTTTTTTGGCACTTGTGTCATGTGCCATGCTTAAAAGGGGCAGGGTTTGAGCCATTTGGTTGGGCTGCTATTTTGATTTTTGTGACACCCACTTGCCAATAACCATGTTCTCACAGCCATCAAGCTATTCCAGGGCAAAAATGTACTGTGGCAAGCTCCCTATTTCCCCCACCTAAAAACAATTGTATGAACTAGGAATGTTTGTTGGAATCAACTGGAAACTTTCTGCCCTTCAAGTCAGAATAGCACAACCTTTGGCTCATGGATCATCTGCAAGCCTCAACCCTTTCCTTCAAAAGTTACTGCCAAAGTATTTTTTTCCAGTTGGATACAATGGAAAATAATTGAATCTAAGGATCAAGCAAAAATTGGATTATGTAATTGGGGATTTAAAGTATTTGGAAATCCAGCTATTTGTCAAGGTTCCGACTAATGAAACCAAATAAATCAGAACTCAAGAGGCTGAAAGCTTCCTCAAAGAACATGTTTATTGGATACATAATATCGGCATGGTCAAAAGTGAAACCAACTCTAAAATTCCCCTTAGGGATTTAATATAACTAAATGTAACAATTCCCTCCCCTCTGCTGTGGCGATAGATCATGCTAACCAATAAAAACAATTGTCGGGCTCCGTGAAACTTCTTCTCCCCACCTTCCAGCTCCTATGGGAATGACCTTTGTTCCCATGGGATCACTCCGTGTTTAGTCTAGCAAGGCTGTAGTTTTTTTCCCCCTCTTCCCCCCAACCTGTGGCAACTTAGAACGACAAAGATGGCTTCAGCCAGGTTCGTTTCAGAAGTTGACATTATTACCCTTAGCATTTGTAAGAACCAAAACATCACACTGTGATAACAAGCTTTGTTTCAGCATTGCATGTTTTATTTCCTTGAATTTAGCATATTGTGCAAACCCAGCTGAAACACAATCAAATTTACCTTCAGTTAAATGAAGTTTTATTCTGATGCCAGCCACCTTTTTGCAGCACAGGTGGTCCTTGCTTAATGATCACTCATTCAGCAATTGCTATAACTTGCAACGCCATTGAATGAGTGGTACTTATAACCAGTCCTCAGAGTTCTAGGTGTGGCAGCATCCCCAAGGTTGTGTGATTGAGATCCAGGCACTTGGGAGCTAGCTCATGATTTTCACATCACAGCGTCCTACTGTCACGTAGTCACCATTTGCCATCTTTTTTGCTGCCTTCCAACAAGCAAAGTAAATGGGAAGTTGCAACTGGGGAACACACGAGGTCCTCACCTAATGACCAGCAGTGATTCACCTAACAGCAGCAATCAGGACAAGGCGTGTCAGCCTTGGCAACTTTAAGATGTGTGGAATTCAATTCCCAGATTTGTGGACTTCAACTAAAACAAGGTGTCAGGCTTGGCAACTTTAAGTCATGTGGACATCAACTCCAAGAATTCCTCAGCCAGATGTGCTAGCTGGGCAATTCTGGGAGAAAGTCCACGTCTTATAATTGCTAAAACTGAGAAACAGCTGTTGCACTTACATGGACTCATCGTTCATATACTGAATTGTTCCTGGAGGCAGTGTGTGCGGTGTCAGAGTATTATTGATTGCAATGGTGATGCGGCAGGACTCTTTGGGGCTCCTATACAAGATTTCACTGATCTCCACTTCAAAAGGGAGGTGTCCTCCTTCATGCTTAGTGACTTCCACTCCATTCACCCACTGCAAAAGAGGGGGGGGAAAGAGCACTTGAAAGGAATAAGAATAAGAAACTGAGAGGCCCATCACCAGGCTTTGTGATATGCTGCTCATAATACTTCTAAATCAGCGATCCCCAACCTTTATAGCTTGGTTGCCTGGCCCAGCGCGCGGCGGGGGGGGGAGTGTGAGTGGCAGACGCACGCACATGAGCACAGCTCCATTTGTGCGAGTGGCAAGCGCACACACCCTCCACTCATGCGAATGGAGCTTTGCGCGCAAGTGGAGGGTGCTTGTGCTCCCACATGAAGCTCCACTTGCATGAGCGCAGGCACCCTCCGCTCATGTGAGTGGATTCGCACGCGCACTTTCTCATCTTCCTATACAGATACTCCAGCAAACTGGACCAAGAAAAAGAAAAAAAAGTAATTTTCTTTTGTAGCCCCTAGGTGGCGGTAGAGTCCACCTCCCAGCCAGTTTAGACATTGTCAAGCAATATAGTCCAATATTAGAAAAATCTCCACAGCTGGTGAGATAGAAGAGATGAAGGTGCAAAATAATTGTTGTTCAGCTATTGACTTTGACTTTTTGCTTTTTTATTGCACATTTGTATCTGTACTGAAAGGAGTTGAAAGCTGTGTTTTTGGTCTTCTCATTTCTTTTCTTTATTTGTATCCTGCCTTTATTATTTTTTACTTTTTCCCCTCCTTGATTCCCTTTTCTGGTTTTTCTACTTGATATTTGATCTTTGTTTGAAACTTAATAAAGTTAGTCACTGATTCTTTGTGAAAGGCCTCATTTCACCAGGATTCTCCATCAGAAATAGTTTTTTTGAGTTCTTGTAAGTTTCTACCTTGATCCCTAGTGGTGGCATCCCAGAGTTTTGAGCACCACACTAATGACAAGATACCCTCAATACTCACCACAACAGAGTAATAGTGTGCACTTCCAATTCGAAGTACAATACGAGTCCCAGGATCTCTCAAGAGCCAGCGAGCCGGTGGAAGCACCTCCTTCTCGTACCACACCCAGCCAATAAAACTCCGCAACTTTGGATTTTGAGTTATGTCATTGAAGCTGGCGGGGACTGGCATGTCCATCACTGGCCCCGTCTGAAAAGATTGAGACCCAATTATGGTGGAACTGTTTTACAGCTTTGGTGAGCTCTGCCTTAAGATTACCAATGTTTTTCTGACTCTAGTTCAGTGATTCTCAACTTTGGCAACTTTAAAATATGTAACTGACTGGCAAGCTGGAATTGCAACCATTTTCTTTTCTCCTGGCATAAAAATATTAAATAACAGGATAGATATGCTCAAAGATTAATGTGACTGCTGACCTGTCTTAAAAGGGTAGAGTGTGGGGTCTGTTTTTAAATATTGCAATCAATGATTTTTTTTAAAAAAATGTCAAGATTTTCCAGTTGTGATATGAAGTTTTCATTTCCATGAGAACATATACAAACTTGTGCATGACCAAGAAAATAGTCCATTCCGATGAATATTCTGTTTTACAGAGTGGTCAGCTAGATTCTTCAGAAATTCCAAGAAGTGTTTCTTAGGACTCTCATACATGTCTCAAAGATGCTTTTTGAAAAGGAAACTGGACTGTGTTTTTTTCCTTGAGGAAGAAGACGTTTCGCTTCTCATCCAAGAAGCTTCGTAAGAATGAATCCTTCCATTCCCCCACCATCCAGTCAGAACTGATAAAGCTTCTTGGATGAGAAGCAAAACGTCTTCTTCCTCAAGGAAAAAAATAGTCCAGTTGCCTTTTGAAAATGCACCTTTGAAGCAATCACGACCTGGATGACTGAGACTCTCTCATAGGTGGATGCCAATAGTTGTTCCTCATTAGTACCCTCTAGACTGAGTTCACGCATAGTACTGAGCCATAATATAGTTAGTCTGGTTTTAGTTTAATAAGACAACAGAACCCTGCCTATCTCTAAAGCAAGAAAATGGTCTGCAGGTCATCCTAATATAAATTTGGTTCAGACAACGCAATAAACCATGGTGTCATTTTTTTTACCTATAGTGTGAATCCAGCCATGGTATTCTCACAGTGTGGCTTATCACTTAAGTGTGAAATATGAACCTACACTAGCGTATTCAGAGAAACTATGTTTAAACAACTGAAAAACTCCTGTTTTATTTACATGATACAATTTTATATGGCTTCTTATTTTGTCCTTTCTTGGGGTTTACAGATAAAATGGTTTGATGTATGTCTCCAGGCACTGACTCTCATTTTACTTTCACTTATCTTATTAAGTCTTTTTTATTATTGTTTCTTATCAAGCTTCAAACATGGTCTGAGTAGATTTCCAAAGCTATTCTCCCTAATTTCCAGATCAAATGATCTTTTTTCTTTCTTAACTCAGCCTTCCAAGGATCATTCCTACTTATCAAGAAAGGAAAATCACCCTTTTCATTTCAGATGTCAATGTTTATTTTTTCCCCCTTCACATGACATGTAGAGACCCCACCTATTTTTGGATGATTTGAACTTTCCTTTCCATCACAAATGAGGATGGTGATAGTCAGGGCTTACTTTATATAGGTAGTCCTTGACTTACAGCCATAATTGAGCCTGCAACCATGGTCATAAGTCATGATGGTCATTAAGGGGTCATCATGTGACTGGGTCCAATTTTATAATCTGTTCTCCAGTGGTAGTTAAACCGGATTGTTCACCATGGAGCACTTTTTGCCAAAACCCGGAAATAAATGCTGGATTCCAACAAAACCATTATAAACTGTCGTCACAGGATGCTGCAAATGGCCATAAATGTGGGCCAGTTGCCAAGGCCCAAAATGCGATCATGTGACTGTGGAGGGAGGGGGGAACCCAGCTATTGGAACTTTGAATCTTTGAAGTATCTTTTTAAGGGGTCATCATAACTAAGCAACCAGTCATAAGTCAAGGACTACCTGTACTTGGCTTCTCCAAAGATTGCAACATACTTTTTTACAAATCCACTGAAGACAGCTCTACTAAGTATTACAAGGTAAGACAACTTAAATAGAATCTGCATGTTGAGAAGCTGAGTTATACCATACAGTGGGGCAAGAAGCAAAGAGGACCATTCCAGTTTTTATTTACTATTTATGAGTTTCCCATTTCTTGAAACAACAGTAATAATATTAATACACAGAAGAAAGAAACAGAAATTTATGGACAGAAATTCTGTCTGCACAATATCAAGCTTTAAGAACAAATGCACACAAAAGCAGAATTGAGAAGACAGCAACAGACAGCAAATGTGTCTTAGCAAATAAGCTGAAGAAACAGTGGTTAGTTGTTGCAAGAGGATCACCCAAACTGACTAAAAACAACGGCATGACAAAATAATAATAATGGTGTTGCTTCTCAGCCTTTTGGCTAAGATCAAGTGTGTGTGTGTGTGTGTGGTGTATTGGAAGATCTGCAAGAAATAGCATTTGCCTGGTGGGATCATAAAATAAAGAAAGTAATAGGAAATGAAGAAGCTGAGGCGCTCTGGGGCTTTAGAATTCAAACAGACAGGCATCTGCCACATAATGCCCCAGACTTAACAATTGTTGATAAGAAAGACAAAAAAGTCTGGATAGTGGATGTGGCAGTACCTGAGACAGCAGAATAGAAGAGAAAGAACTGGAGAAGATCACAAAATACAAAGACCTACAAATAAAAATAGAATGACTGCGGCAAAAGAAAGCAAAGAGTGTCAATAGTAATAGCTGCAATCCCAAAATTACAACACTACTTGAAGACCATCAGTCCATTGCAAAAGGCAGCTTTACCTGCAACAGCTTATATCCTGCAAGGATACCTTTAACACCCATCTAACAATAACATCTCCCTATCCCAGATCCTTGGGAAGGATTCAATAGGTGAATAAAAATGCCAAATTCAGTGTAAACAACTGGCAGATTGCGCAACAAACCATAATAACAATTTGTTAGGTCTGTAAGGCTACTAAATCAGAAAAATTCAAGGAGGATGGAATACTGGACTAGACAAGAATAAAATATAAACCAATTAATATTTAAGGAAGAAAAGGATCAAGTTGCCTTATTATTGAAAAAAGCTTTATTTTTATTTCACTTTATATTATGATTCTCTCCCTCCTCTCTTTCCTTCTGGATATTCTATTCATTATTTTAACTAATAATTTCATCTATAAAGATGGCTAACCAGTATGTAGCTTTCCTTGTAAGACTGATTTTATTTTAATTTTGCCCAGACAGCGCATATGTTCCTCTCTCACTCCTCTTTTAGACACTTCCTGTTAAAAAGGAGATATTCATAAAATGTCATAATCAGCAGTTTAGTGCCACGTTAAGACTAAAAAAAAAGTATTGCAGCACATGCTTCCTCAAAACAGCACTCATTTCATCAGATGCTAGAAGGGTTTTACACACACATTCACACAAATGCACCAAGAAACAGAGATGTCAGATCAGAAGGAGCTTAAATGCAAAAAAATACGCTTTCTGGTAATGACCAGTGAGCACAAGCATGATTGATGAAGCACTGTTGCAAACATTAAGTTCAGTTTATATAAGTTTATGCCATTAGACCACTAGCTTTAAAGTGCAAAAACGTTCTGTATATTTATTGTCCGAACTTTGCACCCACATTCAGGGATCTGCATGCATAGTTCTGTATTGCTAGCTCCATCCTAGCACTGCCCAGGCAGATAATAAACCCCACCCGTGCTTTTGCTGTCACAAACCTGCCGAAGTGGCCGTCTGTACCACTGTTCCAGAAATCCTGCATCCCTTTGCTCAGACCAGTCTGCCCTGAAGCTCCAGAGGCCGCTGAGATCCTTCAGCTCCCTGGAGGATGACTCCCGTGGGTAGAGCATCCCACTGTCCAGGGCTCCAGCCGGGCACCATCCTAGGAGGACACAGCAAGCACAAAGCAGCAACCCCATGCCGCTACTGCGCTTTGCCCGCGCTCTGCTGAGACCGGAATGATAGTCAGCTGAGCTCAGATCAGCTGATGGTCGGCTGCCAGTCCCCAGTCAGGCAACAACGTGATGCGTCACTCTGTGCGAGAACAGCAGCAGCCATCTTTGTTGAGGGCAGCCCGGGCTTTCCTGCTTCTGAAGTTGCAGCGTTCAAAAGCTGGGGTCAAGTCAGGGTGCTACAAGTGACGCAGACAGAAGTCTCAGTGGTTAGCGCCTTTAGATACCTATATATTATAGCGGAAACTTTCAAGAACTGCTTTTCAGTCTTCGGATTAAATGCAGTACTTACTATATTGCAACTATATTAAAATGTAGACTTCAAGTCTCAGCAGAGTATGATATTGAGTATCAGGGCTAATAAAGCAGGCTAGGTCTGGACAAAGAAATAGGTAGAGCTAAGATCAAAATGAAATTGATTTGAAGAAAGAAAATCCGTGGAGTTCAAGCTTATCTTCTAGTGAAAGTGTAATTAATTGTCCTAGCAATAATATGGCAGTACTTTGCCACTGTCTTCTTCAGGAGGTTTTTTTTTAATTCCTTCACAGCTCTTGGTGGTTTCTCATTCAGATATTATTGAGGTTTAATTCTATTTTAGCTTTTTGGGTAAGTAGCCAAAATTGTCTGGATGCTGTGACAAGTTTGGTTTGAATTTCAACTGATTAGGATTAATGCAAGTATTCTTCTTGTATTTAATGTCATATTAACATAATTTGACATCAACTTTTAGAGAGGCCCTGGGCTGCCTGCATGAGCCATAGTGTCTGCAGTATGTGAACTCCTCCAGGTGTAGCTTATGGAAGCTACAACAGCCAAGTGTAAATGCGGATGGTACAGTCTTTCAAGTTTTTTTTCCATAAACAGTAAGCTATTTTCTCTTGTATGAGTTCTCTTCTCATAAACATCTCAGCCTATTTAGCACTATGAGAAGAGTCCAGTATGAGAAATGTAAACTTTAAAGTCTCTGCAGGGCTACATATAGTAATGCATTGCTGTACAGTTGGCTGTTTGATTATCTTTCCCATCTAGTAAACTGTCCAGGTTTTAATTATTACTCTCCTTCTCTTGTGCCCTGGGGTGTGCAAACAATTTCAGACAAGGAATAGGAACTTTTGGCTTGCTGGATTCACTTCTGGAAAGTCACAGAATTACTTATGAAAGGGCTGTCTGGAGGAGGGCAGATTGGCAGTCTGGGGGAAGAATGGAAGTTTTTGGACACATCCACCAAAGAAAAGGCAAAATCAGAAACTCTCCATCACTGATTCTACGCCAGGGGTGTCAAACTCGCAACGTCACGTGACGTGTCGCAACATATCATGACTTTTTCCCTATTGCCAGCAATGGGGTGGGTGCGGTTTGGTGTGACGCATCTGGCCTGCGGGCCGACAGTTTTGACACTCCTGTTCTACACCTAAAGCCACCAACCCTGAACCAGAGCTCTAACTAGCAACATATGGAATGCTGGCTGACATTTTCAGATAGAAAGCCACAAGGTAGAAAGATGGAGAAATGATAATTGTGTTGGGAAACACCTGGCATGAGTCACCTTTGATTTTTGGAATCAGAGCTGACTTGCTTTGAACTGTGTGAAAACTTTCTTGGAAACCTTGACCCTGAAGATGCCCACCCCTTTGCCCCTTGAACTCACACTGCTGGTAATAAATGCTTTGTCTCCTATGAATAGGATAGCTTTGTCCAACAGGATATTGCTGCTGTTGGTTCTCAGTATTGAACTCCATATATATCTTTTTGTATTTTGGTGAGCCAAACTTGGTCTCTTACTGTATGTTCCCTGTTTATTTTATTGTGCCAACCTAGCTTATTGTTTGGTTTATAGTCATGATCTCTCTCCCCACTATTGTAATGATTATTAATATTATTATGGACCATCGCACAATCAACCAGATATTCAGACTGGATTTGGCATTTTTGTCTGCCTATAAAGTCCTTCCCAAGGACCTGGGATAGGCAGATGTGGATGTTTGATGGTGTTACAGATATTCTAGCAGGATGTAAGCTGTTCCAAGTAAAGCTGCCTTTTGCAATTGACTGATGGTGAATTTGTCAATGCTGACATGGTGTTCAAATGGTGCTCCAATAGTTCGGAATTGCACTACTGGTACTATTTGCCACCTATCTCATCATGAGGATACTTTTCTAAAGAAAAACAATAAAACAATAAAAATGTTGTTCTTGGTCACTGCTATGTGTATATTTGTTATTGATTTGTTTTGTTTTGAGTTTTAATTTTATGTTAGCTACCCAGAGTGACTGTTGAGATGGACAGCTATGGAAATAAATACAGTAACTATATAAATCTTTCCAAGTGGAAACACCTTTGAAATAATAACTAAGTAAATCTTTCCTGGTTGAAACATATGACCCAAAGTAAAAAAAACAAGCACACACATTTTTTCCTGAAATCCAATATGCCACTGTATTTATTATCTTGTGATTAAACATGCTAAGCAGAAACCTGCAGCAACGGGACAGTATTTCCCCACACTCAAAACTTAATCCTTCTGCCTCTTCAGCATCTCCTTCAGATATTCAATCTGGGCACTCACGCAGCTCCTGGCGGTGCCCCCAGGGGAGGTATACTGCTCCACGCTATGCTGATGGTTGAAGATGTGTGAGATATCACTTCCCATCATGGGGCTGGAAGGAACAAGAAATAGCTTCAGTCAGATATTACTGACAGTAACAGATATTAAGACAGTCATTTAAACCTAAAGCTTCTCTTTTCACACATTTTAAGTGGCCGAGAAATAGAATACAGGAGCTCTGCAAATAGGAATAGCTTTCACCGTCAATGGCTCCTACTAGAGCAGGGGTGAGGAAAGATGGCCCCTTTATGACCTGTGGACTTCGACTCCCAGAATTCTTGAGCCAGCCATGGGATTCTGGGAGTTGAAGTCCACAAGTCGTAAAGAAGCCATTGTTCCCCACCCCTGTAATAGAGTGTTAGAGAATGAACAGATTGTTGTTAGCAAGGCAAGTGGACTACATAGCCTAGCTAACCTGTAAAGCAGAGGTATACAACTTCACATTCTAGAACAGTTTTTCCCGTGCTGGCTGGGGAATTCTGGGAGTTGAAGTCTACACATCTGAAAGTTGCCAAATTAAAAAAACCCCACTGTCCTAGAATCTGCTGCTGCCTCTCAACGTTTGGAGTACAATCTCCTCAGCTCATACAAAGTGGTCACTAATTTGTAATTTTTAAGTGCACAACTTAGATTTACCCAAGTTTCAGAGCAAGTAAAATGAAACCAAAGTCAGATTTTTGTCCTGCCTCCACTATTGTTTTGGACTACAACCCTTAGCATGCAACTAAAAAAGCCGAATGTGGCTCTCAGCCTGGAACACAGTTCGTGACTCCTCTGCACAAGTCTGTGAGGTAGGTTAGGCTGATAGAAAATGGACTTTCTGACTAAGCAGGGATTTGAACATGGATCCTGGTACTTAATCTAAGCACTGTACCCCTTTAGCATTCACTGCAAAAGATTGCTTACTTTACTCTTTATGATTGTACTTATGAAATAGTTTTCATCATTACATAATTAGGTTATGCTACTAGTTCAGGGGATAATTTCCATCCCTGGAAAAAAAAAGATATGGAATTGTGGGGTCCCAGAGGGTCACTGAATAGATGGTAGTATTTGCATAAATCTTTAGCATTCCATAAGTGTGACTTATCTCCATATCCACTGCTACTAGAGGTAGAAATATGACTTCCTTGTTTTCAAGAGTTAGCAATAGCAGTTAGCAATAGCACTTATATACTGCTTCATAGAGTTTTATAACCCTCTTTAAGAGTCAACATATTGCCCCCAACAATCTGGGTCCTCATTTTACCGACCTCGGAAGGATGGAAGGCTGAGTCAACCTTGAGCCAGTCAGGAGCGAAATCCTGGTAGTGGGTAGAATTAGGCTGCAATGCTGCATTCTAACCACTGCACCACCACAGCTCTTAAAAGCAGTAACTGCTATAGGGAAATCTTTAAAAGTTCCCATAACCCAATACATACTGAATTCCCTTCAGGTCATCCATGGATAAATGATTAAGAGTCACTCCTTTGGTCTCGGCTAAACGGACTGCCTTCCCCACAACAGTGTGGGCTTGTCTGAACGGCACCTGGAACACAAGGGGAACAAAATCAGGAGGCTTAAAGATTTTTCTGTCTAATTTTTACCCTCAAAAGATCCCCAGTGTTTTGAAGCTGATATTTCAGTGCTGACATTTCCAACTATTTCTGCACTATAGAATGCGGCACAGACATGAAATGCAAAACCCCATTGCAGCATCATTTATGAAAGCTCTTGGATCCCTGCTGGGATATTCTTTGAGTTGGGCAGCCCTATAAATCCATTAAATAAAATAACAGATATTGAAGGAAGGTACAGACTTGTCAGTATAACCAGCAATCCCTCACAAACTCAAGGTTCTTCAAGATTTGTTTAGGGTGGTAAGAAAGGATGCCCAGCCAACTGCTTGCCCAGTGACATCCTGTGCCATTAGAGTCATGGTTGGGGCACATGGATATAAGTGATTCTGTTCCTTACAAGCTTGGATACTCACTCCTTTGCGCACCAAATAGTAAGCAAGATCTGTAGACAACATTTCCGGGGTCAGGGCTCTTTCCATGGCATCCCTGTTGATCTAGAAAAATGAATGAAAGAATGGTGAGAAAGAATCATAATTATCACATGCTAGCTAGGTTCTTGGAGATTCAGAGAAAAATCTTGAAGCCATTCTAGACCAGGGCTTTTCAACCTTTTCACCCATTGTACCACTTTTAGGATATGGCAATATCCGAGTACTACCAGTCGCCTAGCAAGGTGTCAAAAACTTGATGACAAAAAAAAAGAAGGAAAAAAGTGATAAAGTACAGATAGTCCTCGACTTACAACAGTTCGCTTAATGACTGTTCGAAATTACAATGGCACTGA